AAAAAAGTGGAAGATCCTTTTTTATCTCTTTGTATATCTAACACACCATTCCAATCTCCCATTAATATCACAGATCTATAATCCAACAAAGTTAGTTTCTGATGCAACAATCTATAAAATTGTTCCTGTTGTTGGTTTGGTGCATACAGTCCCACTATAAGTATTTTCTTACCATATAAACCAACTTCAATCATAACATATCTCCCTTGAAGATCAGATTCTACCAAACGGGCTGATAAGTTTTGCTTAACATAAATGACTACACCCCCTTTTTTCCCAGGAGCAGAAGATACAAAATGAGATCCCAAACGAGCATTGACTAAATATTTTTGATCTTTAAGTAAAATATGTGTTTCCTGCAAACAAATAATATCATTATTATGTTGCTTTAAGTAATGAAAGATTTTCTTTCTCTTTTGCGGGGAATTGAGGCCATTAGCATTCCAAGTCAGGAGCTTTACCATCTCCCTTAACCAGAAGCCTGGAGAAGACTGCCTGAAGATCTGCCATTGAAGAATGTGTTGCAGAACTCTTGGGTCTTGCTTCTCCCACCGGCAATGAAACACTTTCTTGAAGAGATTCTTTAACTTCTTTCTTTTGTTGTTCCTTTTCCTTGTGTCTATGTGCTGCACGGGTCATTCTTTGCTCTTTGATCTCTGTTTGTCGCAACCATTCCGTCTGTAACTTTCCAGCAACCATCACACCTAATCCTTCAGACTGCTGTTCTGCCTCTTTACCATCCAGAACTTTCTGCATCATAGATGACGATGAGCCTGCTCCCAGGACCAAAGTATAAAACTCCTTTCCTTTAGTGATTGTGTTAAGTCTATAACGCGTCCCCGCATGGCTCAAAACAATACCCATCAGAATCTCCCATCTGAATGGCATCATTCTTGTTTTAAGTTCATTAGCTAAAAAAGCAAAGTCTTTTCTATTTCTTAGAATTTTAGATGGGATTTCCTTTAAAATGATAACATCTTGAGCAGCAATCTGGAACCTCTTATTGTAAAAAGCTTGTATAATTTCATTGCGCAGAGATCTCTTTGCAAAATAAATCACCACATCTCTTGGTAAGTTCTTCTGTTTTGCGACCCAGGAGTTAACTCTGTAAATTTTTTCCACTTCTCTACGTAATCCATCTTTCTCCCTATTCAAAACAGCGGCAAGGTCATTAACCACAATTTCTGTCAAATCTTGATTCATGTCCTCTTTCAAACCCCTGATTCTTAGGGCATATTCCATTTCCCTGTACTGAGACATAGCAATATCATCTTGTGAAATTTCCATCTTTTTTTCCATACCTTCAAATTTATCTTCCAGGATATCAACTTTGTCTGCGACCTCTTCCACTCTAGAATCAAGCTTCTCAACCACAGAAGCCAGTCCTGATAGAGCCATAACTATATCTTGCCTCAAAATAGTGTTATTCTGCTCTAAGAGGTTCTTCATTTCTCCTCTAATTTGAGTTTTGTTCTGATCTAAAAGCTCCTTCATTTCCCCTCTAATTTCAGATTTATTCTGATCTAGAAGCTCCTTCATTTCCTCTCTGATTTGGGATACAGCATTTCCCATTATATCTTTCATATCTTGTACAGATAATACTGGCAAAGGAGGAGAAGATGGTGGTGTAGCTTTAGGTTGTTGTACTGGTAAGATTGCAGGAGAAGAAGCCATCTTAGGAACTGTAGAAGCTGCTTGCCTCTTTGAAGCCATTTTTTAAAAAATCTTGTTCCCTCTTTCTTCCTTCTTAAAAAAAAAGTACTAAAATCCTCAAAAATTAAAAAAAACAAACAAAGGAGAGTCCAAAAGAAACTTCAAAACCACAAAACCACTTTCAGAAAAAAGTTTAGAAAGTTTAAAAAAGAAAGAACTATATAGTCCATTACATTCCGTTTAACTCGCTTCTTTCCAGAAAAGAAAAAAAAGCACTTTCAAATCGCCATTTTACTTTCACTCTCCACACCAGCAAAGAACAAAAGAAGAAGAAATCAACGTAAACTAAAAAGCAAATAAAACTCAATAAGTAGAATCCTTTAACCAGCTCTGTCCGCTTTAAAAATCACTCACCCGATCACTTTAGGCGCGGAGATGGTAGCGGCGTTTCACTTTGTTTCCGAAGAAACAAAAACAGCTGGGAGGCGGAGGCAACATGAACTCCAAGGGAGCTCTCTTTCCACTCCCAAAAAAGAAAAGTCCTGGGGGGGTTAAGAGGCTCTACCTCTATTCGTGTAATTCTCTACCCCCTCCCTTTGCCCGGGAGGGGGATTTCGAGCCGCGGGACAGCTGGTATCCACTGTGCTCCGCGGTTCTGACGCCATCCCAGGAGGACGGCTAGAATGTAGCCGCCATCATCGACACTAACCACCGGAAGTCCCAAGCTTGCAATGGATTCTGGCATCTGTTGTAGATGACAACTAATGGACAAATCTACTTGCTACCTATGTGAAATGGTAGAGTACTCAAAACAGCAATACAAAATTTTTATTTTCATCAGATCAAATTACCTAAGCCTTTCCTTGATGGGTAATATATCTTGGATAATGCAAGGGCAACTTCTGTTGTGATGGTAGAACATCTGTTTTCCATTCATAAGATCTTTGATTCAGTAAACATGTCACTTTTCCTTGAGACTTTGGGAAATTGTTGCCAATCAAGCATAGACATAATATTGCCCAACAGTTGCTTACAAGCTTGATGTTATAGCAAGCAGATTATTCAATTCCAAAAAATATTTTAACTCTATCAACTGGGAGGAATACATCCACAAAACTAAATACCACAGTGATGTCAAGCTCAAGATTTGCCAGCATGCTGTAGGTGTTGTAGGGCCAATTAAATCCCCTAAGCCAAATATATCTTCTCAGGAAAAATAAAGCTTTGGCTCCAGTATCAAATTAGGCAACTATCCCATTACAAAAAGACTTTCCCATAAAAACTACACTGTTAGCATAGTCACAGAATGGTCTGGAGGCCAAGGAATGTTGAGTAAGTTGAGGAAAAGATATTGGAAGCTAAGCAGAGCTCTGTGAAAGCTAAAGAAAGTAATTCCTTGAAAGATACTGTGGAATAACTGCCTCCTTGTTTTTTCAAAACCTCATTGTCATTGTAGTCCTACCTCATTACCTCATAGTTATACCTTAAGGATCTCACTGACTTCACTAGGCATATGAGTTGTTACATCCAATGAAACGCCAGGCTGCTTTTTCCAATCATAGATGCATTGTAATTTGCAACTCTGGCCCTCTTTAAACCCATCTTTGCCTCCAGGATTAATTAAAATATTTATAACTAAACAACATTGTTGACAAGTTAAACCTCAAGGGGGAAATCTCATTTTTTACTCTGTTGTTAAGAAATTCTGTAAAAGCAATTTCAAATTTGCAGTCCTCACACCTTTTTTTCCCATCTGGCCTCTGTGCTAGACAGGAACATCCACAGGGAGTAAACAAAAAGAACAAGTTGGCAGCCATAACCTTTTTTACAATCATTTCTGATACCAGGTTAAGCTGTTTGCTGGCTAATCCTACTGGGAGGTATTGTTTGCTTGTTTTTCTCTGCATCTTTCTTACATGCTTTTGGTTTGATGGACAACATGAGAGAAATTATGTTCATCAAAACAAAAGTACTGTCAGTCAGTAAGATTGCTCATTGATAAATACAGTACATACATACATACTTACATACATACATACCTAAATAAATAAATGATTTTTGAAAGACTTTCCAATAATGCATAAATTCAAACCCAACTCTTAAGGAGTCATATGCAATTTATAGGGAGAAAGGCTATCAATTTTTTCTATATGTATTTTACCTAGTGACATATAAAAGCCTCCAGTGATGAAGCACCCACAACTTCTGAAGGCAAGCTATTCCACTGGTTAATTGTTCTCACTGTTATGAAAGTTCTCCTTAGTTCTAGGTTGCTTCTCTCCTTTATTAGTTTCCATCCATTGTTTCTTGTTTGCCTTCTGGTGCTTTGGAAAATAGGCTGACTCTCTTTGTGGCAGCCCCTCAAATATTGGAACACTGCTATCACATCATCTCAGTCCTTCTTTTTCTCTAGACTAGCCATACCCAATTCCTGCAACCATTCTTCATATATTTTAGTCTCCAAGCCCCCTAAACATCTTTGTTGCTTTTCTCTGCACTCAACATCTTTTTTATAATGTGTGTGATCAAAACTGGATGCAATATTCTAGATATGGTCTTACTAAGTTTTTATAAAGTGGTAGTAATACTTCATGTGATCTTGAGTCTATCCCTCTGTTTAGGCAACCAAGGATTCCATTAGCATTTTTGGCTACTGTGGCACATTGCTGGCTGATATTTAAGTGATTGTCCACTAGTACTCCAAGATCCCTCTCATAGTTACTGCTTTTGAACCAGGTTTCACCTGGTCTGTATTTGTACATTTGGTTTTTCTTGTTTAAGTGTAAAACCTTACTTTTCTCTAAATTAAATTTCATTTTATTGGATAGGGCCTAATCCTTACACCAATGACATTAGATTTATTTAGGTGCATAAGGGTGTCTACCATCTGTGCAAGGGAAACCAATCTTCTACAGCAAATTCATGAAAAATAAAAGAACTTTTATTATAGGGTTATAACTGAATCTTGCAACCCTGAAAGTGTCTGTTCCCTTCCTGCCTTTATCCTAAAGAGAACTATAGAGGGACCAGTTTGAGGTGCTATCTCAAGTACCATTCATGCTTTGGGCTGGGAGTTCTCTTGTCTGGTTGTTGCCTTGACTACAGACCTTTCTCCTCTTTCATGGTTATTTTCACAACTCATGAGAGTGTCACACTAATTTGTATATCATTTTAGGAATCTATGGCTCCACAGTCTTGCTCTAGTTTAATATTCTATCAGTTAGGATTTAAATGAATTTATTGGGAAAGTTGCTTTCATTATTCTGGAAATGAATCAACCTTACTAAGCTAAAATATGTGTTAAACATTTACTGATATGTTATCCTTGTCACTATTTACGTACTTACTTTGGTTGTAAAAGAGCCAGTTTTTGAATAATGGTTCAACATTTGATCAATATGGAGAGTGTAGTAATCAACTGCATCCTTTTTAGTAGTCCAATAAAAAGATGTTTCTTCATTTCTTATCAATCTAGACTGGCCCAAAGAAGACTGTGTTATGTTTCCATACGGAAAATATTATCCACTTCATCCAATACTCTTTGATAACCCATCTCTGAATTGAACAAATTGAAGCAACACCTTCACTTCATTTTATAGGAATTCCTGTTGTGCAGTAACTAAGGAACGAGAAGTTCCATGAGGATCCAAGGCTATAATTGTTACACAGAACAATAAAGCATGGAAAATTAATAGAAAGAGACATTCAAATTACAAGAAAAACAACATGGAAAGTGGAAAATTGAATTGATTGAAATCAGGATTAGAGTCAGATTCACCATAGAGCTTGGTCTTCAAATCAATACATATTGATTCCTAGGCTGCAAACATTATGATTATCTAAGAATAACTCCAGTTTATTTCTTTGTTAAATTTATAACCCTCTTTAATCATCAAAGGGTGAATACATTCATAAAAGGTAATCAATCATTAGTCCCATTCACATGCATCAACTGTTTGAAACCTGTGCTCCTATGATGTAGGTGAACTTTTGTGAGTCTTTCAAGCTGAGCCAATGAACTCGAAAAATAATCACTTCAGATCATACTACAGAGAAAATGTGGTCCAGTTACTTGCTAGTATTTCTTCTAGAACTGCAGAGTAAGGAGTTGCATTTTAGGGCAATCAGAAGGACATTCTGATGAATCTACTAATCTCTCAACAATAGGTAGATGCCTCTACCCTCATTGAAAATAAACTTGATGAGGTAATGAAAGGGTTGCAGGAATAGAGTGGCGGTGGTGGTGATGTCCATTTTTGTGTTCCACCAGCTGGGGACAAGGAAGAACTACTAATCAATTCAAGAAGATCCTTAGAAGCCAGGACAATAATGTAAGCATTATGGGCAGAATTGGGAGATGGGAATGGTGGCTATGTTACTGTTGTGTGAAATGTCTTTTATAAAACTATAGCAGATTTCCATATAATCCATGAGTCTTGGCCAATTGCAGAATATGGGACTATATTAGAGACATATAACTCAGAAGATCACCCGAAGACTTCAATTCACCTTTAAAGATATAATTTACAGTAATTAACCATTGTTAAGACACAAAAGAGAATGGAATTATTTTTATCAGAAAATTGGAGCCTCCAATCTGGCTGGGGAAAATATCTCACATCAGGATTCTGCCAAAATAAAAAGTAGATGACTTGCATGTGCAGATTTAAACATATGATTAATATAACTGTACTTTTGGCTCATATATTGGGTGTCTTGGATGCTGTGAAAAAATATTAGTCTACTGAGACAGAATAAAGTATGTAACTGCTACATAATTTCAGCCAAAAAGATTCCTGTTTTATCTGTACAAAACTGGATAGAGATAAGGCCAGTGAAACAAATCAAACTTAAGTGAGGGAGAGATAAAAATTCTGCTTGCATTTTTGTATCTGGTGCAATTGGATCCATGATATTCAATGGTTCCCTCTTACATGGAAGACCATAGAACAGGATTCAGATATTTATCTTAAAGCTGTGGTAGATTTTACAGATGCTAACAGTGTTGTAATGACCTGGTCCCAAACTGTTTAATTCTCATGAAAAACTTCCAAGCCAACCTTTTATTGTGCAATTGCTCTACTTTACAGCATTAATAGAATTATTCACAGGTCCTACAGTGTGATTTTCCATTAATAACCCTACTGAATCATCTTTCCCTCTACTTTTTCCCTCATTTTTCCATGCTGAAAAATCCACTTCAAGGGAAAGGCAGAATAACTACCCAACATCTTTTCTGTAGAAATATGAAGAACTGTTCATTTGAAGTAGCCCATAGGAGCTATATAAAGTATCAGGATGAAATCACTAAAATACATGTGATTTGCTGATGAACTGAATTAGATTACCATGATGAATTAGCCTGAAACCAATAAATATATTGTTTTTCCTCTGCTGTGACATAGATTAATGGGGCTGAGAATCTGTTTTCTGTACCAACAAAAATCCTAAAACTTACTATAACATGATTATCTCTATAATCTTACCATTATATCATGGATGTCATTTGAATGGTTTAAATGACGTTCTTCTTCATGCAATACAGTCTTGCTTTCTTAAAAAGAAAATATAAAAAGTTAAATAGGCTGAAGCAAAGCATATTGAAAATACATTATTGCTATGAATTAAAAAATATGTAAGATTCAAATAAGGTTAGCTATAATAGAACATTGAAGTATATGTTAAATGTTTTTAATGTTAAAAAAGCTATAAAAAGCCTCACTTCAGTAATATTTCCCAAAAATGTTATTAGAAAAATCAAGTCATGAGATAGAATAATCAGAATTTTGTTGTCACCACCCCCCATATACCAAATCTTTTTCCTAATGCCCTGATTAGGTTTTATATTGTAAAGCCATATCATTTACTGTCATTAACTTCAAAATGAAAAGGCAAATTTACCAATTGGAATGCTATTACTTGCTTTAACATTGAGGAGGAGAAAATCAAATTTGATAGATATTTGTAGCCAAAAATGGCAGCAAAGAGATGGAGCAAATGTGAATCCAGTACATAATTGTCTAAATTTTTGTAACCCAGATATAGTAGGCTTCATTTAAAGGAAAATATAAAGTGTATTTCCATTGTTTTGAACTGTAGTGCTGGCATAAATTATTGCATATACCATGGACCAGAGTAACTAACAGAAATTAAATTGTATAAAACCAGACACATCACTGGAAGCTAAAATCATAAGTCTACGTCTGATTTACTTTGGCCATGTTAATGCATACAAATTCATTGAAGAAGGCAATGATGTTGGGAATAAGGGATAAGCAAAGAACATGCTGGTTTGATAACATCAAATCCGAAGCAAAGTTGATTATACAACAATTGAAAGAAGCTGTGCTTAAAGGATAGAGTCACCAAGAGTCAGACATGACTAAATGGTTAAAAACAAACATTTCCACTAACAGCTTACAATGTGTATTGTCTATAGCTTAAGCTGATCTTAACCAACCTTTTATTTTCCAACAGTTGCACTTATTCACAAATTTCCTGAACTGGTACTTCTCCCTCTTCACCAATCAGATCAATTAAGAGCATTCTATAACCTCGTAATTGGTAAAGTTATCATCAAGGGAGAACACTAAATAAGAAACTAGCAATTTTTTGGCTTCTTAGGGCAAAGAGAGAAATGTATCTGAAAAAGTATATGGACATAATATAAATCTCAAATAATTCATACATCCATGAGAATTATCTGCATTAATTAATCAATCAGAATAGAGCTGGAAGGGACCTTGGAGGTCTTCTAGTCCAGCCTCTGCTCAAGCAGGAGTCCCTATATCATTTCAGACAAGTGGCTGTCCAGTCTCCTCTTAAAAACCTCGAGTAATGAAGCACCCACAATGTCTAAAGTAATGTTAGTAATAGTAGTAAAGTTGGAAGGGACCTTGGAGGTCATCTAGTGTCCTCACTGTTAGGAAGTTTCTCCTTAATTCCCTGTTAAGTGATCATTACAACTCCAAGGTCCCTCTCACAGTTACTGTTTTTGAGCCAGGTTTCACCTAATCTCTACTTATATCTTTGGTTTTTCCTGCCCAGGTGTAAGATCTTGCTTTTCTCCACATTAAATATCATTTTATTCGATAGGGCCTATTGTTCAATTCTATCAGGGCCCATTGTTCAAGTTCTTCAAGATCTTTTTGGATCCTTGTATTCTGGGGTGTTGGCTATTCCTGCCAGGTTAGAGTCATCTGCAAATTTGATAAGATCCCCTTCTATTCCCTCATCTAAGTCATTTATGAAGATATTGAAAAGTACGGGGCCTAAGATAGAACCTTGTGGTACCCCACTACTTACTTTCCTCCATGTAGATGTAGTACCATTAAGGACTACTCATTAAGTATGGTTTGTCATTAAAGTTTACCAACCCTAAAAGTAGAGTAGAAAAATGTATTTCTCATTCAAGCCAACTATTATACATTTCTAAGCAAATAAAAAGCAAGAAAGAAACCATGGTTAAAAGATCTGTTACCATTCTTAACACCGTTGTCACATTCTACTTCAGTCCCTTCATCTTTATGGTTCTGAATGTCAAATTTAAGAATATTCTTTCTTTCCACCCATCCTCTCTTTCTTAAAGAAGAGCGGATTACTGGGTAAGGACCACAGATGGTAAAAATTCTCCTTTCCTGAAATCATAAAGAAATGGGTTTCAGAGCCAATGTTAACATAAAGTAATAATCAAACTAAATGTCTGCAATGATATGTTCTTCATCTTTGTATAACTAAATGTCTGCAATGATATGTTCTTCATCTTTGTATCTAACTAATTTTTTAAAAAGTCTTTCTCAAAAATAAACTGCAATGCACAAAAAAACTACAAAGCTTTGATTGCACTGGCTGGCATCTTAACATTTTTTTACCATACTGTGCAGATTCTCTGCCATCACTGTATTGCCCTCAATGCTTCCAAGCAAATTAATGTTGTTCTAAACTGGCTGAAGGCTCCATTGGACTTGGATAGCTTATCCAAGCCAAATAGTAGGCCAGGACGAAAACCTAATTTGAGAAAGGTTTTCCCTTTTTAAAAAAATTAAAATTGATTTCTGTAAAAATGTACATTTAATTAAAATTAAACCTAATAAAATTACTCCCAGTGAGATGGTTAATAATTTACCTCCTGTTGTATAAAAATAACCTTTTAGTAGCAACAGTTGGACATCCCTGGGACTGTCTCCAAGGATGTTGAGCCACTCATGACTCCAATTTAAATCCTGTCAACCTCCAGGTTGGGAGCCATCAGCATCATCTTGTTATTAGTGTTGCTGGCTCTATATGTGTGCAACTATATTATGCATTTTATGCCATGTATTTGTGTGAAAGTATGAATAAACATGTACAAAAGATGGGCTCCATGGCAGCCTCTCAAACAGGTGATAGATACAAAAGTTTTGTGATGGTAGATATCCTCTTCTCTTTCCCTGATCTCAGCACATGAAAAACTATCAGAATGAGGACTCAAAAAAGACAACAACAAAAATGTAGTTCACAAACAAGAATTTCTATTGGTTCCGAGACACAAAGCAATTTTCAAAACCAGAGATGGTCTCATGTGAAATGAATGAGGTCATGGCCCTCAAGTGGAAAAATATTAGAGGGGACTGAAAAAAGTAGCAAGCTGGTTTGACTGACTGATAATCATAAAGGTGGAGGGAAAATATAGTACTTGAGAGTCATCACTGAAAATAAGATATTATGTATGGTGAGTGGGAAGGACTCTGTTTCTTATAACACAAATAGAGAAAAAACCATGCTCCGTTGAAGAAAATAAAATAATAATACATATGGTGCTGTGGACTAACTATAATAGGGAATGAGGAATCTGTGGCCTTCTAAGTTGCTTAAGTGGAGTTTCCCAATAGCTGATGGCCATACAGTATTAGGAATATTAGGAGTTATACTTTAGCAGTACCTGAAAGAAGAGTCAGCGATTCCCTTTTCTGAGCTGCATGCAACTTTTACAGATAATAATCAGGAAACAAACATGCTTGAGTTCTTCTGTATTGTGGCAGAGGGCAGAGCTGCATATGCCATGATACTCTTGTCCCCAAATCATCATGGCAATATACACAGAGGAATCTTGTCTGGATAAGGAAGAATCCCACCCTGACTAGGAAGCCTACAGTAGGGCTTCTGTGTCTTTGACATTATTAGAAGCAGATCTGGCATGGGTACTTTCCCTCTCATGTTCCACTTGCAATCAGCAAAAAACTAAGAGAAAAAGCAGGCCAAGGAAAGCTAAAATCTCCTATTTGTGTATAGGAGAATGGACATACTGACATGATTTCCCAATGGTATCATTTGATACTTAGGACATTTAGATCTTTTCAAAACTACTTCTGAGTCTCTGTCGGAACCATGACACCCTGAACTCAGCAAAGCACTGAAGGGAGTCACTGAAGAATGAGATCTCAAAGCCAAACTAGACTGGCTCAGACACCACCTCACCAACACATAATAGCAGTTTTCTGGGGTCAAGAGAGCAAACTTGAAGAATTTTGAACATTGAACCATCCTACAACAGATATACAGATATACAGATATTATTCTTTTTCTCCCATTGCCATCTCTGAATTAATTAGAAGATCTTGCAGACATTTGACACATCTGAAAACTTGGGAAAATGCACTGAAAAATTCCTTTTCAAATCACTTTAAAATCGGTGAAGAAAAAAATATTGGCATGATCCCAGCTTTTAAGAACCTTTTGGAAGAATGAAAAAATATAGACATTACACTGAGTGTGAAAAATTATTGAGCTGTATTTTTAAACAGATGCCAAACCTATTCTCACTTTTGCCTCTATTTGTTCAGTGTAATATTTTCCCTTTTTTTTTTCTTATTTCAGGAACAGTAGTGCTGTACTTAGTATTTTGTGGAATATTTTTAAATGGTTTAATTCCAAAAATGAGCTAGACATGCTACAATACAAATACTATTTCAAAACTTTTGCTACTAAATATACCCTGATGGCTTTATCAGCTAAAAATCTTGCAAGCTTGTATTTGTCTATTTTGGGGGGAGGAGGCAATTCTTCCACTGATCTCGGAGTGAACTCTAAAAATATAAAGAAAAAAACTATGTTATAAAAAGGGTTAAGTAAAAGGAGAACAATGTAGAATTAGAAATGCACTGGAAAATAATAAGGTTATTTGGTAATTCTTATCATACACAAAACAACTAAAGAATTTACAAAAGAAACACTTGAATATCTCATAGAGGGAAGCAAATATTCTCTGCACTACACTGTCTCCATAATAATAAAGACCTAATAATGGAAGATAAGAGTATGATTTCTTTCAATGTCACAGCACTCTTTACATCCATGGACCCAGAACAAATGAATGAATCCATGGCAGCAGTACTGCACAACACACTTGACCAAATTCACTAAGATCAAAATGCCCAGAAATCATGGATCTTATCAACCTCTGCCTTACTACTTTTTCAGATAGATGGACACATATACCTATGAGTTGGGCTGTTGGTTTGATCACCAAGCTTGGCAATTTGGCTGTAAACATTTCATCTCCATTCGAGGGGGCATCTTCAGTGCACTATGAATTGTGCACAATTCAAAGTACACTGAAGATGTCCCCTCCCTGAATGGAGATGAAACATTTGCAGCCAAATCGCCAAGCTCGGAGATCGAACCAACAACCCAACTACCATCCCAATCTACTAATATTCAAACACATTTCAACCTACAAATTAGAAGAACAACCATGGGATCACCACTCTCTGGACTCATACCAGAGACTGTAATGCAGCATCTAGACACTATAGCATTCCCATTCAACCAAAAGTATGGGTCTGGTATGTGGATGACACTTCATCATAATAAAAGAGAAACAGCTAGAGAAGACACTTGTACAATCAACATCATCTTCAAAGAAATAAGATTCTCAAGGGAAGAAGAAAACAACAACACACTATCCTTCCTGAATATCCACATCAGCAGAGAAAATGGCAGCAAATTAGAAATACAGCTGTGTAAAAAAACCCACGGAACTGCTCCTCCACCAAAGAATCCAATCTATCTCAAGAACAACTGTGTTAAGAACATTATTCAGAGAAGCACATATGCACTGCTACAACCCAGAACACCAGAACGAATGAATGAATCGATGGCAGCAGTACTGCACAATACACTTGACCAAATTCACTAAGATCAAAATGTCTAGAAATGAAGGATCTTATCAACCTCTGCCTTACTACTTTTTCAGATAGATGGACACATATACCTATAAGATGAGCTGTTACTTTGATCTCCAAGCTTGGCAATGTTACCTAGTTGGGTAATGAAACATCTGCAAATAAACAACCAAGCTCAGAGAGCACCAAAGACCTCATAATTCTTAGTCATATACATCATGGAGGCATATATAATCTGTATAGCAAAAGAAGCATTTATATTTAGTATTAGAATGCAGCTTCAAGTATCTGCTCATAAATATAAATAAATCTTTCTAGCTGACCTCAGCCATAGTTCAATTTCTCTAAATGTAATCAGCATTAGAAATTATTAAAGCTAGAGAAGATGATCATTTCGTCTATCTGGACAATATGGATACTTAATTTGCAGCTTATTTTGGCCTTTTGAGAGTAAATGCCTATGGATTTGAAGCGTGAGAATATTTATAAGCAACAATCATTGGTTTTAAGAAACATCCAGAGCATCAACACAGGTAATCTTTGCCACAGGCCTGATTTTGCCCAAAGGAAGGAAGGAAAAACAAGTTATTGTTGAAGTAGTATCTCTATTTACACATTTGGTGTAGACAAGTCCAACCTTGGCAACTTTAAGACTTGTGGACTTCAACTCCCAGAATTCCCTGGCCACAAGCCTTAAAGTTGCCAAAGATGGAAACCCCTTGTCTATACTATATTTAGCATATTTTCAACGTATAATTACCCAAATTCATAAAAATTACAGTTTCCACCACTACATAAGCTTCCCTGAAATGTACAAACTCTATTATGCTCTTCATCTTTCATATTTTTCAGTGGGGTTAGAAAAAAGTAACATTTTTTTTAGTTTTTTTATTCTGCCTTTATTAATTTTATAAGAAGCAAACATACCCAATACTCCTTCCTCCTCCAATTTTCCCCATAACAACAACCTTGTGAGGTAGGTTGGGCTGAGAGAGAATGACTGGCCCCAGAGTCATCAAGCAGGCTTTCATGTCTAAGATGGGACTAGAACTCACAGTCTCTTGGTTTCTAACCTGGAGCCTTAACCACTAGATCAAACCATTCCCCTGTCTTTGAGAAAATTTCCCCAAGTCCTTTTTTCATCTTGGTATCTATCAGTATGGAATGAAGCTTTATTGCCTATTTCTTCTCTTGGAATGTTGCCATGGGAGATTATTGGAAACAAATGCACTTATAATGAGGGACATTCCATCTGAGAAGAGCTGAGAGTCAGAAATGTTGGCAGATCTTCTTTCAGAAAATGAAATGAAATGAAAGGTTATTATTCTAAATTAATCTTACTTTCCCTCCCCCCCTCTTTTCTCATGCTTTCAAGCACATCATGCTAACAGTACAGGTAATGGCAATTGGGTCCAGCAACTCCATTGCTAAGCGACATGATCATTAAATGAAACATGATGTGACCACACCTGACTTACAACATCAATTCCACTAGAGTCATTAGGTGAGGTGTCATATCACTGTGACTTGTGACTTACTGGCCTCATTGACTTTGTTGGAAGTCAGCTGTGACACTCCAAAATGGCAATCACATGACTTGGGACAATTAACTGTTATAAATCACACTGGTTGCCAAGGGCCAAAATCATGATGACAAGACCATGAAGATGCTATGACTCCTGTAATTATGAGGACCAGCTATGACCCTACTTTTTCAGCGTCATTGTAAGTTTGAATAGTCACTAAATAGGACAGTTGTTAACTGAGGACTACCCATAATGGATGTAGCAAAGACGGATTATAAAATTTGTTTAAGGGACATTTTGCTCTTTGGATATTTGGTTTCTGACCACAGATAGGCATGTCTCCATAGATCTTGTAAAAAGATAGCAACTTTTAATTTTCTAACTTCCTAATCTAGAGTCAGATTTTTTTGTCTCATGATTCCAGCCTCCACCTAAAGTACTCAGAGAAATTAAACCAGGAGGATGCAATAGCAATGATGTTTCTCCTTCTCCTTATTGGCAGCTCTGTAATTTTTAACCTTAGTCATTCAGTTGTACAGACTTCAGGCCTAATCTAAATGTTTTGTCAGAGTGGGAGTTGTGGTTGTGAGATACCTGATGGACCCAGTGGTTTATTTACTCCCTGTGTCCAACCACTAGTCACACCTCAGTTACAGACTCCCTTGTGTTAGAGTATTTTGATACAGAAATGAACTAGCGTTTTGCAGTGAGACAGAAAAAAGAATCTGATCTATGTTATACTCTCTGAAGTTGGAATCCTACGATGGCTGGGATCATAGGAGCACAGTCCAAAGCTCTAATCCTTTACTCTGGAGTCTTCAACCTTTTAGGGTTGGTGGACACATTTAGAATTCTAATAAGAAGCTAGGAGCATTCTCACAAAGGACTATGGTAGGGGAGTGTAACTCATAAAATCACTACCATGGGGACAAAGCAGTTGGAAAACATGGATTTAACAGAATGCTATCTCCCTCTGCCCTCTTCCATAGGACTTTTTCTACTATCCATGCTTTTTTCTGGGCATTTGGGTACACTTCCAAACTGTGCGTTAAGATGCAGCCCATCATCATTTTTTAAAAAAGTTTTGGCACGATTCAGGATCTATAGTTACAGTATTCCTGGAATAAATGAAGATGCTGCTGGAGGGCCTAAATATGGCAGCTTCTCATTCTTTTAATTATTTTTTTTAATACAAAAAGGAACCATAGGAGGGCCTGTAAAAATATTTGTACTGCAGCCAATTTGGTGTAGTGGTTAAGGCAATAGGCTAGAAATGGGAGAAATCTGAGCTCTAGTCCCATCATAAGCACAAAGCCATATAGGTGACCTTGGGCCAGTCAGTCTTTCTCAGTCCTAGGAAGAACACAAGAGCGATCCACTTTTGAATTTTACCAGGAAAACTGCAGGCAGTAGTCCAGCAGTCACCAGGAGTCAAACTGACTTGAAGACAGATACACACAGTGCATACTGAAGGCTCTATTTTTGCTCCTTTGATCAGATACAATTGCTCTAATTTTCTTTTTTTTTATTAAAAGTTTTTTAAAAATTTATACAATATATATCCCAAGTCCCTCCCACCCCTCTCCCACTTCCCAGAGCTGATTACAGGGTTACAAAAAACAATCATAATTTAACTAACATTACCCAACTATACTAACAATCAAATCCATAACATACTTTAACTCCTTTTCAAAATAAATATTAGCAAATTAAAAACAAAAATAATAATATAATTAAATTGCTCTAATTTTCTTATACCATATATTCCCGACCAAAATGCACTGTGTGTGTTAATCAGCTCCCGTGAAATATTTCACAATATTTTTTAAAACGAATGATTAATATTCCAGTATATAGATGCTGGAAACATACCCGGAAACATCCCATGGTGGCAGGAAACTACAGGAAGGCAATTGTCCAAAGCAATATTCAGGTTCTTTTCAGGGGAAAGTTCAGACTCTGTTAAACCTGATAGAAAATGAGCAAAACTTGTCAGATGAATGATGATGAGTAGAAACTAGAATTGGAGTGCATTTTTACATATGTGGAATTAAATAAACTAATAGGCAGGCCTCCTCTGAATGCTCAAATCAGAGGCAAATTGGCATCTTGCCTACAGGGCAGAAGGTCTATAAATGTTCAATAAATTATGGTTTGTTGTACAATTAGCCAGATATTTAGACAGGATTTTCCATTTTTAGCGACCTATTGAGTCCTTCCCAAGGACGTAGAATAGGCCAATGGTGTTGTTTGATGGTGTTAAAGGTATTGTCACAGGATGTAAGCTGTTCCAAGTAAAGCTGCCTTTTGCAATTGATTGATGGTGATTTTGTCAGTGCTGAGGGTGTTCAAGTAATGCTTCAGTTAATTTGGGATTGCATCCAAAATGCCAATTACCATTAGTAGTATTTTTGCTTCCTTTTGCCACAGTCATTCTATTTCTGCTTGCAACTTTTTCTATTCTATGATTTTCTTCAATTCTTTCTCTTCTGTTCTGCTGTCTTGAGGTACTGCCATATCAATCCAGACATTTTTTTTTGTCTTTCTTATCAATAATTGTTAAGTCTGGGGTGTTATGTGACAGGTGCTTGTCTGTTCAGATTCTAAACTCTCAGAGCACTTTAGCTTCTTCATTTTCTATTACTTTCTCTATTTTATGGTCTTGTCACTTCCTACTTGCAGGCAAATGGTATTTTTTGCAGATATTCTAATGCACTATTGTTGCTACTGTTGCTACTGTTATTATTGATTATGCTGAACCATAGCCTGGCAACAACCTTTCTCTGCCTTGTTCCCATGATATTTCTTTCATCTCATGGTAAAACCATGAGGGAGACTCCTTAGGTAGCCCAAGCTACACCTGTGTTACTATAATGTCATTCCCTCTTCAGCCAACAACATCCGGTGGCAGTTGCATGAGGGATAACAACATTGGAAATGAGGTCAGCTGACCAGTAATGACTGGGATCACAGTAGAGCAGGGGTCCCCAACCCCCAGTCTGTGGACTAGTACCGGGTCACAGCATGTCAGCAACTGGTCCGCATAAACAAGCAAAGCCCCATCCGTGGGATGCAGGCAGCACACAAAACCATGCTCTCTCCAGTCCATGGAAAAACCTTTCTCCACAGAACCAGTCCCTGGGGACCTCTGCAGTAGAGCTTATTTTCTGCTTCACTGGGCATGTCCCCTGCATTTCAGAGTCTGATAAGCCTAGCCTACTGCCTTTTTGCTATCTTTTTCCTGAGATACTGCTAAACCAATCTTCCATACCTGTTTCCTCATCTTTCTGATGTTAGAATTTTTAAGATTGGAAAAGACTATATAAATTCTTGGGAGGAAAAGATTTCTAAGAATCTTTGGAATTTTTCTTTATTTTCAGAAGGGCAAATTGAAGATACCTTAGGACCCCTTAAATGTTTTAATTACTTCACATTGAAGCCAAATTGTTATAAATGATGTCATTTCATCACATCATTTTCATATATTAAGATTTAGATCTGTAACTTTTTGTAAGTACCAGTGCACATTCTAGAATAAAATATTCCTTCACTTGTCATACACTCATCCATATACCTGTCATATATACTGGAGGGTAAACTACTAGATGGCATGTTCCATAATTATTTTAAACCAAATGTCCATTTACTGTGACCTAGAATTCCATCTCTTGCAATAGCTAACCCATAGCTCATATGGACATCCTAAAATACAAAATAATCTTATACATCTTTATGTGGGAAGATGGAAGTATGTCCTGCAGGATTGAGCTGAACCTATATCTCTGCATACAATCATTTATCATCTTCTTAGGACACTTATTTATGGAAAGCTGTATGGTCCTCAATGGAACTACATCTACAGTATGTGAAGAGAAGCATACAATTAGGTATGTCAAGGTTCTGTCTTGAGCCCAGTATTATTCAACATCATCTAGATCATCCCACCTAGATGAGGGATGAAGGGGCACTCATCAGATTTGTGGATGATAGTAAACTGGAGTATATTGCTAACACTTTGGAAGGCAGACTCAAAATTCAGAAGGATCTCGACATACTTGGGCATTCAGCCCTTTCCAACAAGATACAGTTCAGTGGTGAGAAAAGTAAGTGCCTCCACTTATGCAGGAAAATCCAAATGCACAGACACAGACTTGGCAGTACTGGCTCAACAGTAGTACTTGTGAGGGGAATTTAGATGCCCTAATGGACTACCACTTAAGAATGAGCCAGCAGTGAACTGCAGCTGCCAAAATAAATCAATGCAGTCCTAGGCTGCATTAGCAGAGGGATAGAGTCAAGATCACGAGAACTGATAGTACCACTCTGTACTGCACTAATAGTCCACACTTGGAATACTGCGTCAAGTTCTGGTTGCTATGATACAAAAAAGATGCTGACTTCCGGTGGTGACGGCCGTGGCAATGGCGGCTTTCTTCAGCCGTCCACCCTGGGATGTGTCAAAGCCAGCTGAGACAGCGAGCAACAGCTGTCTCGCGGCTTGGAACCTCTCTCCCCGGGTGAAGGGGAGGAGGTGAGCTTTCCTCAGATAGTGGTAGAGCTCCCTGAGGCCCCAAAGTTTTCTTTTTTGGTGGTCAGAGGGTGAGAGCTCCCATGGAGTCTGGGATGTTCTCCACATTCCAGGATGCCTTTGCCCTGATTTTCCCAGGGCAAAGCTAGACGCTGCTTCCACATCTGTGCTTAAAATGAACTTGTGAGTAAAATTTAAAGCAGACAGAGCTGACCAGGAGAGACTAAAATGGGGATTATTTCGGACTTTAACTCTGGAAAAGAATTTATCTTCTCCTTCCTTTAATTAAGAGTGGTGAAAAATGGCGCTGAGATGTTGATTCATTGAGTGAAAGGACAGGAACTTCTACTTGGAATAATGTAACAGATTTTGTATTTGTATAAATTGCAAGAATCTTCTTTTTTTCTTTTAAGGGGGCTTTTGTCTTTTTTCCCCTTCTCCTTTTTTTTGGGGGGGGGGAGTATTTGTTGATTTTATAAGATTTTAGCAGACTTTTTATAAGTGGTCTTAAAAATAAAATGGCTTCAAAGCGTCTCAGAGCTTCTGTTGCTTCTAAAGCCTCGATCTTCCCGGTAATGCAGACAGCTCAGCAAGCTAAGTCTAAGCTTCCACCACCTTCTCCATTGTCTCCAGCATGTATACTTAAAGTTTTACCGGATGCCTTGGAAAAAAGGCATGACAGATTAAAGAAGAGATGGAGGTTTTTATTGAAAATAAATTCATGAAACTAACAGAGGACATAGCGTTTGCGTTTCAAAAGTTTGTTGGTCACATAGATCTTCTGGATGAGTGTATTGATGATGTTGTGGAAAATTTTGAAAAACTGGAAGATCGAATTGACAAAATGGAAAATAATGTGGAAATAATACAGGATGAAATTACTATGTTACAATACAGAAACATGGAATTTGCTTTAAGAATAAGGGGAATGAAGGAAAATATTCAAGAGGATTTGAGACAAGTGGTGGTAAAAGATATAGCTTTCATTTTGGGGGCTGAGCCTGAAAAAATATTGAGAGAGACGGAAAAAGTTTTTAGGGTTAATTCTAGGGTTGCAAGACAGAGGAATTTGCCATGAGACGTGGTTATCTATTTTTCTAGGAGATCACTTCGTAATGAAATTTTACAGGCTTTTTATAAGCAGAGATTTCAAATTGCAGCTCAAGATGTTATAATTTTAAAAGAAATACCTTCAAAAATTCTTAGAAAAAGAAAGGATTTTGTTTTTTTGGTTGATGAGCTCAAAAAACGACAGGTTCGATTCAAATGGGATATACCGGTTGGAATAGTCCTGAATTATGCGGGGATATATTACAGACTTAATACAATGTCAAAGGCGAAAGATTTTTACATTTTGGTTTTGAAGGTGGGTTCTCCATTATCTTTACGACCTGAGATAATAAAAGAAAAGTTGGAAGAGCAGCCGGTTGAAAGTGCTATGCTATTGGATGTGGGAGACAAACAGGCTGAACCTTTGCAGCAGTCTCTTGAGACAGAAGATTTTTTAAAGGAACCGAGAATGACTCATGCAGCCTATAGACGTAAATTTAAAAAACAGCAGAAGATGGATGTTAGAATAAAGAAAAGGAAATGATGAACTTTTGTAGTAGTTTTTTGAGATAGAAGATGTTTTAAAGGAATAGTGATGATTTGTATTTAGTATGTTTTAAAGGAACAGTGAATGATTTGTGTGGTATGTAGATGTAAAGAAAAAGAATAATAGAAGGTGTTGATTTAGTGGAAAAGTTTAAATATTTGGGAGTATATATATATTATAAATTCTTAATTTAAAGTGAAAAATAATTATGAGATATTATGGGTAAATGTGTAAAAGAATTCAAATTTTAATTATCTCTGTTGGTGAGAATTTTAGAAAATGAATGGTTTGCTGAAACTTTTTAAGTAGGAGGATATTAATAGACTTTCTTAGGGGTAAAAAGCAAAGAGCCAATTTTATTGAATGTAAGTTTATTGGTTAGGTTATATTGGAGGGGAAATTTTGTGTTTATTATGGATGAATGGTTGTTTAAAAGAAATATACACCTCAGCAAGGTGAAGATGGATAAATTATATGTAGAGTAAATATGGGTTATGATATGGGTTTAAAATGCATTATGCAGATTATGAATTATTTATAGTTCTTAATTTGGAAATGCTTATATTATTAATTTTTTTCCTTTTTTGTATTTGAGTTAAAGTATATTATCGATTTTATTATTTGTATAATTGGATAAGTTTATTTAGAATTTGCTTGTTTATTTGTAACCCTGTAACCAGCTCTGGGAAGTGAGGGGGGAGGGAGGGAGGGGGTTATTTTAGGGGGGGATATTGTTTAAAACTTGTATAAAACTTTTCAATAAAAAAAAGATGCTACAGATCTAGAAAGAGTCGAAGAAGAGCAACAAAGATAAGAGGTCTGGAAGCTAACTGTATAATGAATGGCTACAGGAACTAGGTATATTTAGCCTTATGAAGAAAAGGATTAAGGGTCACGATAGCCATCTTCCAATACTTGAAAGGTTGTCACGGGGAAGAGTGGCAGTACAAGAGGCAATGAGCAATGAAGACAGTACAATAAGCAATGAGTGGAAGCTTATCACAGGAAGATCCAAACTGGGACTAAGGATAAATTTCCTGACAGTGAGAACAATTAGTCAGTGGAACAGCTTGCTTGGGATATCCATCACTGAGTTTTTTTATGATTAGACAACTATTTGTATAGGATAGAATAAGGACTCCTGCTCTGGGCAGGTTAGACTAGAAGACCTCCACGATCCCTCACAGCCCTACAATTCTATGATACTCTATACTACATAATTAAGGATTCTGGTAAACTTACTCTAAAGTAGAAAGTAGGTTGGAATTCACTGTAAGAGTTTATGTCTTCACTATATTTAGTTTGATTATGTGCTATCAAGATGGTATGAACTCTTACCGTATCCAGGTGGATCTGTTCCCAACCTGGTCCTTCATGTCTTCCAACAGTGCACATATTGTTGCTATAATTGAGTCCAACCACATTGATGCTAATCACTTCGTTTCCTGCCATCTTTTTCTTAGACCAGAGGACATCCAAGGTCCCTTCCAGCCTAATGAGTCTATGAGCATTATCGATTTTATTATTATCTCCAAGTCTTTGCATAATATGTCTAAAATATAATAATTTGAATCGGATTATTTGCACCTTGAGTGAGAACTCTGATTGATTGGTTGATTTGATCCATTTGTTTTCTTGGTTATCAGTGTTTTTTCTTAGGAATCTTCTCCAACACCAATGTTTAAAAGTTCACTCTACTCCGATACCCTACTTTCTGCCTTGCTTCTTCAAAGCCTAAGTTCAACTCTAGATATAGCTTAAAAGAGCCGAACTCATGGTTATTAGAATACCAATAGTAAAAGGGAGTCAGAAATAGAATTTCATGGGATTCGTTGATTCCTGATTCATCTTACTGAAGCAGTGAAATAAGACTATTTCACCACAGCAGGTGAATAATAAATATATTAATTAGGATTAATCGTATTGGTTGATTCTCTTGCTACAAAAAGATACCATTTAGAGAATGATTAGGGTATTGGACCAGAAACCAGAGAACATGAATTTTGGTCCTGTCTTAGGCATAAAGCCAGCTGGGCCACTCACTAACTCTCAGCCCTAAGACAAACCACTTTCAAAATCTTGCCAACAAAACTGACCGGACTTGTCCAGGCAGTCACCAGGAGTCAAGACTGACTTGAAGGCATAAACTAAAATCTGTTGAACTTCTAGTGACATGGAAATACCATTCTGTGTATAGATCAGAGCATTCTGACAACAGAGTATTCACCATCTTAATACTTTGCCAACTGTATCTTTGAAGGATGGAAATGAAGGATACAACTATCTCCCCCTCCTCCTAAAGGAATTTAGAATTTTTTATCTTCTCTTGCAATCAGTGGGAAGATTTGTATTTAGATCAAAGGAACAACTAGACTAAATTTTCCCCTGACCAAATTCCTTCATTTCCTGCTATCTAACAGGATATGCCCCCTTTTTCTGATCTTGGGAAGTGTTACCTGCACTAAATGACACAGAAGTGAGACAGATCAGATATTTCCCTCTGAAGTTGAAATCAGGTTTCTGACTGAGTGTGGAATTGAAGGGGATGATCTTTTAAGGGTCATGTAATTATCCAGTCATTTCCCTGTTTTGCTTTTAATACTCCCCTTCCCACAACCCCATTAATAAACCCCGATGCTGTAATTTGTAAATACTAACTATTTTCTCCTTCATGTTTTGTTTCTTCGTTTTTAGATTTTCTTTCTACATGAAGCCGGTTCATCCTGTCATTGTTGCTTCACTGTTTTGTCACAGTCCTGCCAATGGAGAAATATTACAACCTTAATACTATATTTCAACCAAAAGGTACAAGCAGCAGTTATTCAAGAAAATGAAATATTAAAAAATCCTTTTTTAAGGTATGGCTAAATCTCTCCTTAACTTTTCTGTCTACTACCAAATATATAATTTTAACTGTGAATTTCTAAACATATGATTTTCATGGAATACTTTACTGTAGTCCTTAAACTGATCTGTCATGGTTGTCAGGAGAAGCAAACATCCTCTTTAGTTACTTCCAAACAAAATGTACCATCAATACATATTATCACTAGAAACAAATGGAAACCCTGTTTATGCTTAACCACACCATTTATGTGAATTGATATGAAAAACCCAAAGTGTAATTTGTTATTCATGAATACCTGAGCTCCTAAATCATTTTTACAAGGTTCTGATGCATATCCTAGGAATATGTAGTCAATCACTCTCTTCATGTCATCTTTCTTTCATTATCATGTACTTACTAGACTTTCAAAAGGGCCCCTAGATTGGCATTCTGGCTATTTGCTTTCCATTTTGTCTTACCCTCCTGGAAGCAGCTGAGCTCCTCTACCTGGTGACACCTGAGACTTCTCCTTTAATCCTCCCCTTACAAAGGGTTACATTGCTCCTTACACCTAACTACCATTGTGACCTCTGTAGGCATGCAACCTTGTGCATTGTAGGTAGGGAATTGTACATAAAGCAAACATATTTGTGAAAGGGGTAAACTCTGTATTATTATTTTTTACTGATTAAGCTCCAGTCTCAGTGGTAACAAATGCATTTAGTTAGACAGTTTTGTATTAAGAATCCTGAAAAGGAATAGGAATTGCACAAGTATATTAAAGTATGAATCAGCTCAATTTCAAACGCATGTTGCTTGCTGCCCACAGTACATGCATCTAAGCATTTTTTTTCATCACACCTGTTCCAATCCTGGCTTGATTCCTTTCTAAGTCCATAGTCCATATTCTAGGACTGTTTTTGTAACATTGCACAAGTATCAGATGTTACACATTGGATTACCAATATCCTATTGAGGAATGCTTAATTTTGATACAGAAGTTTATGTTTTTGTTGCTGGCTATTACTGTAACTGGAAAGTTATATTCTTCATGTTAATTATTAAACTTGTCTTCTGCAACAGAAACCTTCATTCTGCTTTGAAAGTTTTCATTTAGCATTTGAGAGGAATTCATTAGCACGTAGAAACATTTCTGGAATTTTTGATACAAAAATTAGTTAAACTTCTACACTTGTTTCTTTCTTTTCCTATAAGAGATTTATGATGTAACATAAAAAGGGGTATGATAAACCAGAACATGTTTTGATTTAGGGTTTTGTTTTGTTTTTTGTTAGTACACATTCAGACCTTCATTGTCATATTCTTAACTTACAACCACAACTGAGCCCAAACGTTATGTTGCTAAATGAGAAATTCGTTAAGTGAGTTTTGCCCCATTTTACAACTTTCCTTGACATATTTGTTAAATGAATCACTGCAGTTGTTAATTTAGTAGCACCATTGTTAAGTGAATATGGTTTCCCAATTGACTTTGCTTGTCAGAAGGTTGCAAAAGGTGATCATATGACCCTGGACACAGCAACCATCATAAATGTGAGTCAGCTGTCAAATGTCCAAATCTAAATGACATGACTATGGGGATGCTGCAGTGTGAAAAATGTTCGTAAGTCATTTTTTCAGTTGCTATTATAACTTTGAACAGTCACTAAGCAATTGTTGTAAGTCAAGGACTACCTGTTCTAAATATTGTTGATATAAGATGCCTATGACCATATTTAAGAATGTCCATGTTTAAGTTTATTCATGACTGACTGTTTTATACTTTATTCGTATTTTGTTGTGTTCCAGAACAAATTTGTCTGATACTACTGATGCTTTTAGCATTTTCTTTCTTTTGAATGTACATATACAATACTTCAAACACAGGAGCAGGCTGTAATATAAACATTTGATACCGTTATTACTACTATAATTGCTACTGTTTAGAAAAATCAGATAGACACAGCATCTTCTATAATTAAATTCTAATGATTACGAAGTATAAAGTGAATCAGACATCATTACTCTTATCGCATAATATAATTTGTTTAAACTGTGTATTTTCCAGTTCATTTCTGCGCACAGTTTAGAGTTCTCATTATTTTCAGCAAGGTTTTCTCTGATTTGAAAGCAGAATATCAAAAAGTGCTGCCTTTTGTCAATTGACACTACTTATCCTCTAAGGCAGAGGTCCCTAACCTTTTGGGCATCAGGGACCAGTTCCATGGAGAAAGGTTTTTCCACGGACCAGAGGGGGCATGGCTTTGTGTGCTGCCTGCATCCTGTGGATGGGGCTTTGCTTGTTTGTGTGACCCGGTACCTGGCATGCCATGGCCCAATACCGGTCCATGGACCAGGGGTTGGGGACCCCTGCTCTAAGACCTTATCTCACATTCTCTATCACTGGAGTTAGGGATGACTGGGACCCAGGAATTACCTTTTTCAAAAGTGACATCTGAGCATGAAAATAACTGGAGTGTAAGTTTGGTTAGCATACTCTCTTATTGCTTTCTTGGACATAATCCATACATCACTCAGGAGGGTCAGATATTTTCCAGCTATCAACATTAGTTTTTTAATATATTACCATATATTAGTACTGAACTATTATAAGACCATCATATCAAAAATAGAATTTGGTACAGAAATGGATAATTAAGGTGAAAAACTCTGAACACTGAAGCTGTTTCAGTTTTAAAACCCCCATAAAGTTGTGTAATACAAAATCAACAGGCGGTAGTGTGATATTTCTTTCCAGGATGACAAATGATTTGACATTTCATGACAAATGAAAGAAACCTGTTCCTACTTTAGAAACCACAAAAAGAAAATGGCTCATCTAAACATATAGCTAAATCTGCACAGTCGCAATTCCCATTGACAATTGTGGCTGTATTTTTTTAGTCAAGGTTGTTGGCTAAAGTAGAAACAAGTCATATTTCAAAATTATCAACATTTTTAAAAAATCCTGGTTTCTTTTAGCTGATTCTGCCTTATATTCTTGAGCATTTATCAAAGTAGTAAACTGAATACAAAAGTAAATCAAAAACATTCATCATCATTTACTGCACTCAATAACCTCATGATTTCAGACTTACAGATTTCTGGGTTTCTGCCCTAACCAAACACAGCTTTATTCATTTTCTTCTTTTGATAGATTACACTATGTGAAAACTACATTATTGTTTTGTATAATCTATGAATGAAGCATTATGTGTCCCTGTGATCATATCTACAAGTGACATCTATCAGAAATTGTGATATTTCTGTGATTTTAGTTAAAGCAACATCAATCCAATGACAAGAACTGGCTTGCAATAAAGATTTTTATTTTATCCAAAAGTAAAAACAAGTTTAACTTTAAAAAAAATAATCAGAAAAAGATTACAGGTAAAATATATTTGTTACAAACTTGCTTAAAATTTTATACCAGTTAAATACCAGCAATTATATTAGCTTCTTGCAATAACAAAACTAATTGCATTAACTGTTCATGTGGTCAAAATATTTAATTAACAATGGTACTGTTTAAAACCACAGTTTATAAAGAAAAAAAGTTACTGAAATCAAGATGAACTAAAATCAAATACATGTACTATTAGAACAATCTATTACTTTTAAAGGATGTTATTGTTTATTGAAAATATTCTGATGCAAGAATTGTTTTCAAGCCATTCTGGTCAATGGAGTTGCTATGAAATTAATTGCTTTGCATTTAATACCACAGCCCTTGTATACAAACATTATTTAGCCCTAAAATTTATCTGGTTCAGTTTCCCAAGTACAGATTACTGAGCCATCTGCACTACAACAGCTTTCCAAGCTTTCTCTTTGTCAAAATCCTTCATGCTGTTATTGGACACCTAAAACAAAACAAAAAAAAGATGTCAAGGAATGGAACACAGAACAAAATGCAGAAGAATCCGTAATAATAATGGGTCATGATTAAATGAGTTAGATAAATTGATTACATATTTCCATGATTATAAATACCATAACTCCCTAATTCATCAGTTTCATCAGGGCCACAAGAGAATTTTAACTTTTTCTACTATTTTCCTGAACAAACCTTCTATTTGCTCTAATTTTGAAGCACAAATGTCAGCTTTCCTCCCAAGGCAAATTAAAATAAATATCAGGATGCCAATTCAATTTATAAAATAGCATTTAAGAAATGCTTTAAATCCTTTTCTATACACCACTGTTTCAGGCCTTCTGCTACATTAAAAAGATACAGAAAAAAATCTAAGTATAAATCTGCCTTATATTGTTTGATTCATAAATACATGAGGCAATAAGTGCACAGATATATTTCTTTAGCTATGATGCATGTAGTACCGTTAGATATAATTGCATATAACATTTTAAGGTATTTTATGGGATTGATCTATGAAACAGTTGAAGTTGCTAGATATTGACACATGCATGTCAAAAAGAATTGTAGATGTAAAATATTCTGCACATTTTAATGAATAATTATGTCAAGCTCTACATGGATACCACCATTCAACAATTTTGGGAGCAATAAGATTTAAATTATTAACAATATTTTTTTATGAAATTTAATCTGTAAATATTGCTCACCTCTGTTGTTTTGTATTCTTGTTTGTTTGTTAGTGGCCCCACCCATAACGAATCATGCATTTTCATTTTTGCTTTAAAATTTACACAGAGTATGACTGTCCCAGTTGTCAGAAATGCTTGAACTAACAGCATCAGCATTAGAAGCAAGAGCAGCACATCATAAGACTGCTAAAAATAACAGATATATAAAACAAATTTTAATTATCCTGAACATTATGTACTTTTCTATCTCAAAATGTCATTTTTGCTAGAGGCATTTTGGCTGATTTAGTTGGTGCCTTTGAGTCAGTATTGATTCTTGGTGACTGTCTGGACTAGTCCCTGCAGTTTTTTTAATTATATTTTTTAAAGTGGTTTCTTCTTGTCTACTGCCTAGGGCAGGGGTAGGCAACCCAAAACACTCAAAGAGCCACTTGGACCAATTTCCCACCAAAAACAAAACACCGGGAGCCGCAAAATCCTTTTGATATCTAAAATGAAGATAACACTGCATATATCCTTTTTTACCTTTATTATAGGTGTGTGTGTGTTTGTGTGTGTGTGTTTGTGTGTGTGTATATGTGTGTGTGTGTGTATATGTATGTATATACACACACACACACACACATATATACACATACATACAAATACACATACAGGTAAAAAAAGGATATATGCACTGTTATCTTCATTTTAGATGTCAAAAGGGTCTCTCTCTCTCTGTCTGTCTCTCTCTCTCCCTCCCTCTCTATCTGCCCTTGGTCTGCCTGCCACTTCTCTTCCCCCACTCTCTTTCTGCTGCTCACCTGGCAAGCTTCAAGCTGTTGTCCAACAACCTCCGAGGTAGGCAACCTCGTCTCTTTTATGACTCATGGACTTCAACTCCCAGAATTCCTGAGTCAGCCTAGCTGGGCTAGCTAGCTCTCTCCTGCCCTTCCTGCTTCCTGCTTCCTGCAGAGATGCAGCAAAGGGAGGAGCTCCGCCCAGAAAGCTTTTCAGCTCTTCGGAGGACACTGTGAGTGTAATCTTTTACACACACACACACACACACACATACAGAGAGAGAGAGAGAGAGAGAGAGAGAGAGAGAGAGAGAGAGAGAGAGAGAGAAGGAAGCAGGGAAGTGCAATTGCCTCTCTCTGTCTCTGTCTCTCTCTGCAAAGGCAGAGGAGGCTGGGAGCCACCGGGGAAGGCTCAAAGAGCCGCATGCGGCTCCGGAGCCGCAGGTTGCCGACCTGTGGCCTAGGGTAAGAGAAAGTGACTGGCCCAAGGTCCCGCAACAGGGTTTGTGCTTAAGGCAACTCTAAAATTTACAGTTTCCTAGTTTTTAGCCTGAAACTTTAATGACTACATCAAACTGACTCTAGAGGGGTGTATTAGGCTCTAGCAATTCTATACATAGCAATTGAGATTCAAAGATCATTCATTTTTCAAGTTGCATAATTAAGAATTTTCGTATTCCTAAAGGCTAATTTAATATCTTTGTTATCATTTCTTAGCAAGAGTTTACTAAGTATGAAATACAAGGACTCATCAATGTTTACACACTGTAAACACACACATATGCATATACATATATAAACCTTTGTGTTGTTACATGTTAAATTGAACATTTAGATTGTCTTTTAGTTTGTCTTTGAAAACAAAAAAAGAGCTTCTATCCTGTAGAACAGTGGTTCTCACGTGATCAATGGCCAGGGGGTGTGGCCAGCTGATCACTCAGGTTGCAGAGTGCCTGTGGGGGGGGGAATCTGTGGGTCTCTGGGATGGGAGTGGGGTGGGTGCCTACCTTCCTTCCCTCCCTTCTCTCCCCTTGTCCCTTCCTTCCTTCTTTTCTTCCTTTCCTTCATCTCCCTCTTAGTTTCTTCCTCCTTCCCTCCCTCTCCCATTGTCCCTTCCTTCCTTTTCTTCCTTTCCTTCACCTCCCTTAGTCTCTTCCTCCTTCCCTCCCTCTTTCCCATTGTCCCTTCCTTCTTTCCTTCCTTTCCTTCACCTCCTTCTTAGTCTCTTCCTCCTTCTCTCCCTCTCTCCCATTGTCCCTTCCTTCCTTCTTTCCTTCCTTTCCTTCACCTCCCTTAAGTCTCTTCCTCCTTCCCTCCCTCTTTCCCATTGTCCCTTCCTTCTTTCCTTCCTTTCCTTCATCTCCTTCTTAGTCTCCTCCTCCTTCCCTCCTTCTCTCCCATTGTCCCTTCCTTCCTTCTTTCCTTCCTTTCCTTCACCTCCCTTAGTCTCTTCCTCCTTCGCTTCCTCTTTCCCATTGTCCCTTCCTTCTTTCCTTCCTTTCCTTCCCCTCCCTTAGTCCCTTCCTTCCTTCCCTCCCTCTTTGTCCCTTCCTTCCTTCCCTCCCTTCCATTGTTCCTTCCTTCCCTCTCTCATTATCCCTTACTTCCCTCCCTCTTCGTCCCTTTCTTCCTCCCCCCCCTCCATGCCCAGGAAGAGACAAGGGGAGGGGGACAGGCTGCGATAGGCAGAGGAGAGCTCCACCCAGCTCACTTGCTCAGCTTCGCCAGAAAACATGCTGCTTGCTAAGTTAGCAGAAGCCCCAGGATCAGCGCCGGGCTATAGCTGATTCGCGCTTCTGCTAAATTAGCAAGCGGCATGTTTTCTAGCAAAGCTCGAGCAAGTTTGCTGGGCAGGAGCCAAGGAGAGCTGCTACAGCTGACCTGCTTCTTGGCTGCTCTGCAAAAGCACGGATCAGCTGTAGAGGTTCGCCCCGATCCTGGACAAGAGGGAAGGAAGGAAGAACGGAAGGGACAAGGGGAAAGAGGGAGGGAAGGAGGAGCAAAGAGGGAGGCGGAAGAAAGGAAGGAAGGAAGGAAGGAAGGAAGGAAGGAAGGAAGGAAGGAAGGAAGGAAGGGACAAGGGGAGAGAGGGAGGGAAGGAGTGACAAAGAGAGAGGCGAAGGAAAGGAAGGAAGGGACAATGGGAGAGGGAGGGAAGGAGGAAGAGACCAAGAGGGAGGGAAGGAAAGAAGTTCCAGCCAGCAGAGGCTTGGCAGCCCGGCTACCGAGGAACAGAAAAGCGCAAAACCAAGGAGAAGAAGGTGGCGGTTTCCTCCCAAAGGGGGCTCCTTTTCTCCACCCCTTCCCTGGATTTGGGGGGAATTTCTCATCACCAATGCTGACAGGTGCTCCTTCGAGCCCGCCACGAGCTTTCTCGCCCCCTTTGCTTCTCCCCTCCCTCCCCTGCTTTCGTGAGGATTGTGGCGCCCTTGGGAAGCCGATCGTGCTTTGAAGCTTAGGAGAGGAGGAGGAGTCCCTTCCTCCTTCCCTCCCATTCTCCCTGTCAAGCCCCGGCGGGCTCAATATGAACGGGCGGAGGAGTCGAGGACAAGCGGGGTGGCAAAGGAGACTGGTGGCCGTCGCTAGACCTCCCAGCTGACAAGCGCAAGTTTGGGGGTCACCAGCTGACAGGCGCAGGAGTTGGGTGCTGCGGCAGCCTCCCCTTCGCTAACCTGCGTGTACGAGAAGAAGTCAATCCAGTTGCTGCACAATGGGTCTCTGGGGAGGGTGGGGCCTTGCTTTGTGCCTGCACTCTTCATGCACCCTCTGCAGGGCACATTTGGTGGAGTTTACGCAGACTGCTGCCAAGCAGCATATTTTCCACAAACAAGTGAGGTGGAACGGGGGGGAGGGAGAGAAGGCGGTTGACAAGCCCTGCCTAAGACCATCGGAAATATGTGTTTTCCGATGGTCTTAGGCAACCCCTGTGAAAGGCTCGTGCGACCCCCAAAAGGGTCGCGACCCACAGGTTGAGAACCGCTGCTGTAGAAAATAAAGTAGTGGCTTATCTTTAGTTTCTTACAAAATTCTGAATTCTGCAACACAGTGTTATAGTATGTTTAATCCAAGAAAGACAAACTAGGAGTAAATTTGTTCTTTTTAACAGGGTCATTAAAACCCAGATAAATAAGCTTTGGTGCAGGCAACACCTTTCTTTACTGAACAAATGTAGGTTTCATATAGTAACATATTTAAAAATTATGAATACACTTTCCTAAAATTTAATTCTTGTGTCTAAAACATTTACATTGGACATCTGTGGTTAGAAATACTAGCACATGTTATCACAGCTGACAAGAAGAAACTTGTGAGTGATTGAAATTCTTTCCTGAAATGAATGTCTTTGGCAGTATGCAAATATGCAAATATTTTCCCTGTTGATATATAAACTGAGTTCAATCAACTGATAAATATCTCTAAAACATTACAAAAACAATAAATTCCATGTTCACTAGTCTTGACTTGGTCTCCACCAGTTTCTCTAAAATTCTGTGTTAACTAGTAGACCTGCAGCCAACTATTTTCTGGTTAATTTAAATGTTTCTGACTTTTCATTTTTGATTTTGCTGTCCTTTTAGTTCCTAGCTCACATTTTCTAATTGTAATCTCCAAAATATACACAATGTTCTACGAATTGCTACTTCTGTTTCAAAATGCTTTAAAATCACATTTGTTTTAATAAATCACAGAATTTCTTTCATAAGAAATCAGTTATTTGCACAGAATATTATGACCTATATACAATATTCATAAAAGCTTATTATGCATTAATAGCTAAAAAAATAAAACATACTTGAACTGTTGGTGGATAATTTTTAATCATGTCCACAATGCGCATTACACTGAAAGACAAGTATCCTGAAGCTGTGAATAACAAGGGTGATGTAACACTGCTTATGGCAATAAGAACTTCCACCTAAATTAAAGATAAAATTGTAAAATATACAGTTGCAAAGAAGAAATATCCATAAATGTGTGCCTTTTTATGTCATCAGAATTGTTATACTATTATTTTTATTTACACAAATATTTTAATTAAGCTATAATCATAGAGAAATTACCAATGAATATTAAAAATTAACACATAAATATTTCAGATATTATATTTAAATGTATATTCAAAGCTACAAGGTGGCTGAAAATAGAAATCAGGACTTAGTACTAAGCTCAATTGAAGTTCTGACAGCAATCATTCAATGGATGACAAGGAAGTACAATATGCAGGTACATTGTGACTGGACTAGTACTTTACTCAGCTTGCAAGCCTGTACATACCTGGGCACGCAATGGATGCTGTTTTGCATATGCTATTAAATTATTTAAGGTGTCCCTGTTTTAATATGTCAGTGATGTCAGGGCAAGGTGTGAGGAGGAATAAAACAAGTCAAACTGGCATTCAGGACAGCCCAGTCAAAATCCCATTCCTTCTGTACGTGCATCTACATTGCATACATATTGAAAGGAGCAGGGCTTCAATTAGACTGTTGCAATTGCCATTTTGATTTTTTTTTTAACTATATCCTGCTAGCGTCCATCATAACATAAATTACAGAAGAGATGCATAACTAATAATGTAACAATGGAGCCATGCAAAAGAACAGATTGAAAATAAAAATAATCAAGTTTGAAACTGTATATTGAATAAGAACTGAAGAACAGAAACAAGTACTACGATTCTAAATAGTTACAAGAAATGGAAACTGAAATATTTGTAGATGAAAAAATATAAAACCATTTTGTCCCACTAATCATATTTGGACACATTGTTTAATTGTATAAAATCCTGTTCAGCCATTTTTTCAGCAATTCTTGTGAGATCAGTTTCCACATGGCCCCAATAATGGTCTATTAAGTTATCTTCTTAAATTTTATGAAATAAAAAGATACCTTTTTGCTCAGTGAAAAGGAAGATCTCAAACAGTTCAGCAATACCTTTATGGGCCAATAGGCGTCCTACGATATCTCCCAAATAAAAGTGTTTCCCAGTTGGGCATTGTATGAAAACAGAAAATACATTTGAGGTAAAAACCACAAGACTAATACAGAGTTTGGTTTAAATGATTTAGAGGCTATTATCTGTTACCATTTAATTATTTTAACAATGTACTCACCAAGCATTTGCTTGGATATTCAGCAGCAACATGACTTGCAATAGCACTGGGAAAACACTAAGAAAAATAAATAAATATGACAAAATGTTCACAGTAAGAACCATTGAAAGCTATACTTCAAGAGAATAGTAGATCCTTCTAGGATGCACATTCACAACTTTGGTTTTTGTACCTAAGCTCAGAGAGAAAAAAAATGTCATGCCTAGTTGAAGCTTTTCTATTCTTGACATGCTATGGACTAAGAATGAATCTTTATTATATACAAAGACTGAAGCCACTTCCAACAACAGACTGCCCTCTATGCAAATGAAGTGTAGTCCATTCTTAAAATCTTATGTTTTAACTGACAACAGATTGCTCTCATCTTACAACCAGTCGTTTGGTGGTTTGGAATTACAATGGCCATGGAAAGGATGACTGCACCGCCACCCCCATGGTCATGCAATCGCAATCTGAGTGCTTGATATTGTGTTCAAACATATGACCAGTTGTCAAGTGCCCCATGATCATATGATCATATCTGAAGTCTTTTCTGCTGGCTTTTTTCCCAGAAAGTCAATGGGGAAGTCAGCAGGGAAGGTTGCAATCTGCTGCCATTTGCCGAGAGGACTCCTCTCATCTCTGGGGGATGGCTAAAACAACTGCCTGCTGAGGGGAGCCAAATCCTTTGAGAGGGTACAGAAACAACCTCCATTCCTGCATCCTGTGAAATGAGTTCCCTTCTGCATATGAAGGCGATCTCAACTCCTTTGGTGAGGTGCAGAAACCAACTCAAATATTAAAAATCTGCACTACATTCCTACATCCCACCAAAGGAGTTCCCTTCCCTATATGAAGGGAGTGAAGCTGAATTCTTCAGCAGGCAACTCTTTCAGCCAGCCCCCCCCCCCCGAGGCAGAGGGAACCAAAATCCAAGCAGAGTGCAGCAAGACAATGCAGTAAAGTAAGGAACGTGGAGTGCCTCAAGCAGGTGGGGGAGACCCTGGAAGACCCAATGCAGGCCACTCACAAGTGTATCTTTGCTCAAATCCTGTTTGAGTTTCAGAGTGGAGGATTTTCAGTTCCTGAGCCAAGACTCCCAAGGTCTCCTCCACTGCTGAAGCATCCCGCACTGCTTATCTGGGACACTGTCCACTTAATATCCTACAAGATCACTTAACTATTGCAACTGGGAATGCCAGGATCGTGGTCACTGAGCAAAGCAGGCACATGTGTCTTGATTAACAACCACTTCATTCAACCATCAAGATTCCCATCCCAACTGTGATCCTAGGTTAAGGGTTATCTATATGTCTCTCATTGCTTAAGGAAGGCCACTTCGTGAATCTCATGCCTAGTGCTGGGTGACTGTTGTTTGCTGACATTTTCAGCATCCATAGCCTGGGAAATTCTCCCAGCTAATCTCCTATTGGCTTTCCATCATGGGAAGATACTATATCTAACTCATATATGAAGCAATTAATTTCATTTACTATCAAAATATATTTTAACAAGCTATATATTATTTGCTTCAAGTCTCATTCCCAAACTTTGTACATCTTTTTGAGACAAGAGTTTCAAGTAAATTAAAAATAGATGGAAATTACCTACAAAGGATAAGGATTCCTTTTTATTACTTTGTTGTACAGTGGGATTCAGTGATATCCTCCAATCATATTTTTAGAGACAAGTTATTGGAAATATTAAAGGTAGTTTACAGATAGTATAAAAGGATATGACAATAATTGTTCATTGTTAACAAGAGTTTGAAATGAAAATAAAAATAAGCTATATTCAATTGAGTGCTACTTACAGCAACTAAGATCCAAAAAAAAGTGACCGAAAGGTATGGGCCAGAAATTAGCACATCCATATTCAAGGCAATTATTCCTCCAAACACTGCAGAAATTCCAATAATTACTTCTACCACCTTAAAAAAAATAATATGATTGGAATTTGATTATAGTAACAAAGTGCTAAAAAATTCCTCAAGAACAATAATATAATTTCCTTACCGAATAAGATTTTAGGATCCGTATTGGGAAGTTGACATTATTCAATGTGCTAGTAGTATCATAAATAATTGTCTAAAAGGGAAAATATGATCAAAATAAGAAAGCAACAATATCAAACATTAGCAATCTACTGAAGCTATTGATAGAATTATATTGTTAAGGTTTTACCATATAGTATGCATATATTGAGAAAAGAAGGTTCTTATGTTTAAAATCATGGCATCGTGCATATTCATGTTTTGTGGTAAATATGAACATGATCCATTCTTTATCAACATCATCAATACATGAATAAAAATCGCACATATTTTCTATACAGCCTTTAGAAGGCTCTTAGGAATGTTTAAAACAGAACTGAATGTTTCTTACAAAGTATGCCTGCTAGTGGAAAACATTCCAAATGTGATCAAGATAATAGTTTCTTTAAGGTCGGATGACTATTCAGAATCTGAAAGCAACAGTCTTGGGAAAAAAAAATCTGTGAGACAAAATTAAGACACAAACTGGATATTCAGAAATGCACTAGTCTAAGAAACTGTGGCAGTGGATTGTTCAATATAACTATTCCACAAACTCTAGAGGAACGCTATGGAGTTGGCTTTTATAACATTATGTTGTCCCCCCTCAGCTATCATCTGGCAACAACTATTCTAATACAGGTAACTGCAGAGCAGAAGAAGCTGTTTCATACCTACCTAATACTTCCCAGTTGGCAGACATTCCAGAAAGCTTATTCTTTCCTGTTGAACACTAATAAGAATGCTTTTTTTTTTTCAAAAGATATCTGACCTTCTTTCCCTGCCCTCTCCCTACTTTTCCTCTACCTGTTTTAAAATTATAAATCTCAGTAGGTATTGTTATAATAAAGATTGCTGTAAATCACCTTAAAAACCCATTTGGCTAAACAATGAAGCAAGAATGTTTTAATGCAAGCATGTACTTTGAGGTATTGCAAGCCATTATATATAACTTTCAAAACATTTTGTTAATAGATTTGGTTAAAAAATGCATACTGATATATTTTGCAAGAACTTTCTCAATGCTTTGGACTGCAGCTTTACATACAAAGTGCCCTACCTCACATAAGGTATCTCTAGATTCAATCTTGGTTGGTTAAGTAGAAGATATGATTTAAAAATGTAACTTTGTTCCACTGAAAAGTTATGAGCAAAATACAGATCACAGCCTCCTTATAATATTTCAGAATGCACTAACACTAAATTATGTACACACTGTATATACTGTGTATAGATACACACACACACACACACACACACACACACACACACACACATATATCTTGAGTGCTTTTGTTGCACCCTGTCGACCCAAATATGGGAGAAAGAAATCTTTTGCCTTGTATCAGCTCAAATTAGAGCCATCCTCAGGCAGCAGTCACAACTGCGACATCATTTATATTATAAAATTTGGATTGCTAACAAAGAATTAAGGGAGAATGGAATAGCTATTTCGAACTTTTCGAAAGATTTCTTTCTCCCATATTTGGGTCGACAGGGTGCATCAAAAAGCACTCCCCCTGTCTCTTCCCTCCCTGACACAGCTGACAAAGTGAGAAAGAGCCTGTGGCCTAGAGGTTAATACAGCTGCTTAACATGCAGACAACCCAGGTTCGAATCTCAGAAGGGTATGTCTGGTTGACGAGAACTGAAAAGTTCAAAATAGCTATTCCATTCTCCCTTAATTCTTTGTTAGCAATCCAAATTTTATAATATATATATAACTACAGATAACTACATAACTACAGATATTGCAAGTGTTGTATTATGTGAGGTTTGAGATACACAAATACATTCAAAACAAAATGATTAAGACAGAATTTCTTGTAAAATTACAATATGGTTGTGGACAACATTTAAGAAAAATGCATTATTTCAAAAGAAAAGCAAGTTTCTGATTTTAAGGTCAGCCATAGTTGTACAGAAAAATATTATATATATATATATATATATATATATATATATATATATATATATATATATAGGTCTTTGGTTGTTCGGGTTTTCTCCCACGTAAAATTGGAAGTGTCTTGGCGACGTTTCGACAAAGTCCCATTCGTCATCTTCAGGCTGGTGCTTTCAGCTTCGTGCTTTGAGCAGCAATGTGTGGTCTTAGCTGTTTCTTCCTTTTAACTGCCAGTGGGGGTATGAACTGATTGGGTGGGAGCTTGGCTGTGTTCTGATTGGGTGGAGGTGTGTTCTGAATGGTTAGGGGCTTGGCTGTGCTCTGATTGTCTGGGGGAGTGTTCTGTTTGGTTGTGCTCAGGTTAGTCTGAGTTGCAGAGGGGTTTAAGATTTTGGGCTGCCTTGCTATTTTTTGGCTTCGCGTTCGTGGTCGTGCTTCATCTTCATGGAGGGTGTCAGTTTGCTTCATGTATGGATTGGAGGGGTTTAAAGTGGCTAATGATACAGCTGTGGTCTGGCTTCTGGTTTGTGGTCGTGCCTCGTCATCGGTGTGGCTTTGGGTTTGTTTTTTGCGTGGATGTGTGGTGGTGACCTCCTGTGTGGTTTTTGTGGGTCTGGTATCATTTTTTGTGTTAGGGAGTCGTTTGTCAATAAGGGCGGGTTTCCAAATGGCTGGTAGGCGGGAGGTATCATCTCGCTTGTCCCTAACACAAAAAATAATACCAGACCCACACTGCTAAACGGATTAAGACCAGGGTCCACGAACACAGATTGGCAGTGAGAAGGGGAGATTGTTACTCCCAGATATGGGCACACACGGTAGATCTGGGCCATAGGTTTAATTTTAGTGGCGTCAGCGTATTGGCGAATGATAACACCAAAGGGGGCCGCCTACTTAGAGAGGCATGGCTCTCGGATAATAGATCTATTAACAGGCATGTTGACCTATGCCCGGCATACGTGGCTTTAAGATCATGGAGCATTAATAATCAGCGGCAACACCCCCGATGGCTTAATAATAATCCCGGTGATACCAAAGAGGAAGGGCAAATTGCCCAACAGACCTGGTGCAATCCGGAGGAGGAATGGCAACTGCGGGACACCCCGACCATCCCAGTGAGGCTACCGCAATCCCAGAGGACTAGGGGGATGGTGGAAACTGAGATCTGGAGTTCTGATAGTGAGAACAAGATGAAGGAGGATACGGCAGGTGGAGGCGCGGGGGAATCGCCAAACGCAACAGCTCGCCTGCGCGCCAAAAGAAACATCGTGGCCGGTCCGGAAGGGAGGAGAAGACCCCCTCGCGCAGCCAGAGCGATCGGACTTAGGAGGGATAGATCACGGGATATGGCCAACGACGAACCCCCGAGCACCGCCGGAGAGGAGGGGAGAAGATCAGAGAGCGGTGGAGTGCGAGGGATTGAGTCGTTACGCCCCCTACCCGATGATCCTGAGAATTCCCATGGAATGCACACGAACACCAACAGTGCAGAAAGGGGGAGAGCCGAAGAGAAACGTTATGACAGCCAGAAGGAGCGTGATTCGACTACCACACACACACACCCCGGACCGAGTACCCGAAGCAGGACGCGCACAAGACAGCTGGGTATGGCGATGACCAGGAAACGACCCCTCCACCTTGCTGAACACCCCCCCACACCGTATTTGACTCGTACCAGCTCGCAAGACCATCCGGATGACGGGCGCACCAAAAATGAAAGTATTGGGACTAAAAAGGAAAGTTACTTTAAAAGGAACAATTGGGTAGGACATGGCTGTGAAAGGAACGTGGAATGTGCACTACCACCTGAACCTGGGGGGAGGTCAGAATGCAAAGACAACCAAAACAACTGGAGTTGCCACCCAACCACCCCAAGGTTGAGAGAAATAAGGATGGATGAAGATAGAAATGCAACCAAAAAGAGAAAGGAAAAACAGGTTAACCGTACGCAATTGAATCAATCAGGCCCGATAACAAGGTCAAGGAGCCGGGCGCAAACCTTGACATGCCTATAAAGGACTTCCTCATTCACTGGCGCGCTAGCCCTGAAGATGCCGGCAGGTGACGGCGAAAGCTTGGCGCTTTTAATTAAACTTTTATAGTTTTAATTAATTAAAAACTTTTACAGTTTTTATTACCCTGGTGTTCATTTTATTTCTTCACCATATATATATATATATATATATATATATATATATATATATATATATATATATATATAATAGAAATTAGAGAAAATGATTATCATATGTTTCTATAAGTTATATTTTAAAGAAAGCGTGACTCAAAGAGCAAGTTCCAATAGCATAGACAGAACAGAATATTGACTATATTGTTAATTAACAGGGAATATATTCTCCAAATCACTATGTACAAATAAACAAATTATTCTGATTTGAAAAAAAGGGTATACAATATATATTGAAATAAGGCAGAATTGCCTCAGGCTAGATAGACAGCATGCAAAATAAATAAATAAATGCATACATACATGAAAACTATATTAAAAATAGTAAAAGTCAGCCTTACTCTTTTCTTCCTGCAGCATTCCTCATTAGACCTAGCAGATATTATTACAGTAGTTGCCATGAAAACCTCTAGCAGACTCAGGAGAATCAGGTTGAAATTTATCTGTCAGTAAAATGTTTTAAATAATTTATATTAACATTAAGTATATTGATAAAATTGTTGTATATGTTTTAACATAATGTAGGAATCCAGCTATTTTCAAAAATATCATGCTATTTATCTATTTATTTACTTATACATTGCTCTAGTTGCTGACAGCTTTGAAAGGTATATATATATATATATCCATCATCTATAATTCAGGTTAAAATAATAACAAAATTACAATTTAAAAAATTCAAGTATATTTACATATGTGAACAGTAATATCAATTACATTAGACAAATATTCCAAAGCCCAGGGAGGGAGGAGGCAGACATTTCAATATCTCAGTCCTTGAGGAATAACCAGGTTTTAATGTCTTTCCTAAAAACCAGTTGGATGGCAGAATTTAGAAGTCTAGAGAATGGATCAGACAGATTTTGTGCTCTCTCCCAGGGTCGATTTTTAAAATGGGATAAAAATATATATCTTCCTTGAATATTTATAGAGAAAACAGTAAAGGAACATATGGCTTAGGGATTCCACAGAGTCAGCTATCTCCTCAGGGACATAAGCATTGCTAAAAAAAAAAGGGGGGGGGGTTATACCATCCCCACAGAACTAGAGTTCTGTGCATCTAATGCATACAACCTGGCCAAAGTAAAAGCCCCCAAAACCTTCAGAATTTGAATTGAAGAGAGCTAAGATGATGGCACATGACCATCTGAGAAGAATCCATAAACTGTAGGGTTGGATATTAGGCTTAAACTAAATACATTGTTTAAGTTGACTCCTGGCACTTTCCAGCCTAATGACTTGAAAGGATTAAAGTTTGCTACTGGCTTTTGTTAGACAGATTGATTTAAAATGGTCTCTGAGAACCAGTAAAGCGGAAAAGGAAGATCTTAATATCAACCCATACTTTGCAAAACTACCAGCAAAACCTCTAATGAGCTGGAACACATATGCTATGAACCATCCTCTCTCACTGGCCCTCAGATACAAATCATAATTTACTATGTACTAAAACAACCCTAGCACATTAAATCATCTGCAAGTAAAATAATAAAAGTTTACTTGGTAAAGAAATTAGATATTGAGCAGAAAGTCTGGGTTAGAAAATAAATTAGTCATGCTTCAATATAATTGAAATGTGTATGAAAAATTGCTTGAGTTCCTAACTTCAATTAATTTTAATGAAACATACAAGTGTATGCAAATTACTGACTGTATTCTATTGATAAACAATTGTATTTTATCTAGCCTTTATTTAATGGTCACAAATGCACAGCAAATCTTTGCTGTGAACACTTGAATTGTTCAAATGTTCCATATTTGTTGTTTACAACTCACATTTATTGCTGTAGGTGTTAACACAAGCTTGCATCCAAACCAAATTAAACACGTTGTTGTAATCGCAAATGTTGAAACAAACAGAAACTGAAAATCAGGTATCTGTAAAAATGGTAAAAATATTACATTTCTTATTTATATATAAAATAATACATAAATAATACTACTCAGCTTTCTAAACTTAAAGAACTTACCACATTAGCTTTGTTTCTGGCTATGGCAAAACTCACTGCTGCTGAGGGACTACACTAGGCCAAAAACATTAAGAAAACAACTTAAAAAATAATATATTTTTCATGTTAGTGTGAGACTTACTATATGATAGAAAAATCAAGTTCTATTTCAACTATGAAATCTTATATCACTCATTTAAGTTGGGGGGGAACAATAAATAATATACCATTTTTAAAAATTATGCAAGGCCGTTTCAACAAAAAGTTTGTATCAAGGACCTAATTTAGTTGTTCTCCTGGAGTTTAAAAATAAAGACACCCTCAAGACAAACTCATCTCCTAGGGGCCACATGTACATAACCTTGCAATGTTGTATTGAGCTTTACTCCAGGATATTTTTCAACATCCAGCCCAGTTTGTGATCCTAAGGTTTTCTGGTGGTCTTCAAAAGCAGTCATAAGCAGGACTGAATCCGCCTAGCTTCCAAATCCTGACAACTCTAGCAAAGTGCTGCCACTTGCTGAGATTTTATACAGTATGAGATGATTTAAAGAGACTACTGGTAAACACACACATACACACACACAAACACATTATCTGCGCTGCAAGAATCCATGTAATGATAACAAGAAGATACAAAAAAATCAATCTTTTATTATTTATGAGCTGAGGTGGCGCAGCAGTTAGAGTGCAGTACTGCAGGCCACTTTAGCTGACTGTGTTCAGCAGGTCAGCGGTTCAAATCTCACCGGCTCAAGGTTGACTCAGCCTTCCATCCTTCCGAGGTAGGTAAAATGAGGACCCAGATTGTTGGGGGCAATGTAAATATATATATATACATTGTTTTCTGGTGTACACCGCTTAGAGAGTGCTTGCACTTAAAGCGGTATATAAGTCTCATAAATAAATAAATAAATTTATGTAAAGGTTGCAGTTCTTATAGGTCAGTGATGGCGAACCTTTTAGAGACTGAATGCCCAAACTGCAACCCCAAACCTACTTATGCATCGTCAAGTGCCAGGTGGGTGTGGCCCATTGGGTGGGCGTGGCTGTGGTGGTAACGGCAGACTGGGTGGGACTAAAAAGTTCAATCAATCAATTCTAACTTTGCAAGATTTTTTTCCCGCGAGAAGTTGAAATTGACTGATTATGACTGCTTTTTTTTTTTTGCACACAGCGGTGGAGGCCTAAAGCGAAAAGGTTTTATAAAACTCAGCTGAAGGCCTAGGACTGGGGCAACGGCACGCGTGCCCACAGAGAGGGCTCTGAGTGCCGTCTCTGGCACCCGTGCCATAGGTTCGCCACCACTGTTATAGGTCCTATGAAAGGAACATAGATGGGGTCAGTCATTAACACGTGTATAATTCCCATCCTAGAGTGAATGGTTCCTGGGCTACAGCAGAAATTCTAAAACCCTTCTTCTCAGTCCCAAAATATCTGATCGTAAAGTTTCGTTCACATTAAGTTCTCATCCAACAAAATACATTCATGACAAAACACCAGCTCTAACCCCTCTAATTTCTTGTGAAACCAGAGAACATTTACATGATTTGGGGGGGAAAGAGTCTATTTTTTTTTAAACTGCTAATAATAGCATTTCATTGCAGGACTTATTTTAATTGAAATGCATATATAAAATAACGTAATTTTTATTGTGGATTACTCTATATCTGCTTGGGTGAAAAAAAAATGTATTCACTTGGCAAAAAATGCAGCAATTTTATGTTAAATAATTTATCAATGATCAATAGCTAGGAAGCTAAAGAAAACATATATATATATAGATTGTCATAATTGTCAATACAGAGAATTTGACATAAATATGTAACATATTTGTAAATGAACATTAAATAATTAAATTGCAATTCTAATTCACACTTCCATGGAGTCACAGCAATGCTGCAGAATGCTTACTGAACCTGCTGCACAACGCAAATAATCCATTTCAGATGGAAAAACATTCCCCAGGTAAAGGGAAAATCCAGAAGTAACAAGAATACAAGTCTGAAATATAAAAATATAACAAGCATATACTGATTAATATAGCCATAGAACTATGTAAACTATGTAAATTTGAGAATTATTAGCCGATAATATCTGGCAGCAATATAAAAATATTCATAATTCACTAAGAAAAAATACATTGAAGAAATACAGTGAGAATGTCCCAAAGATGCTTTTCAAAAGGCAACTGGACTTTCTTGGGGTTTTTTTCCTTGAAAATATTTCGCTTCTCATTCAAGAACTTCACTCTTCAGTTCTTCAGAACTTCAGTTCGTCTTCAGTTCTTGGATGAGAAGTGAAACTTTTTCAAGAAAAAGAAACAAGAATGTCCAGTTGCCTTCTGAAAAGCACCTTTGGCACAACTATGACCTGGATGATTGAGAATCTCCATAGACATTTACACTGAGAATGTGATACAGATTCAGAGAAGCAATAATATTTCCCTTCTCTATGCAACTGCTGTTAATATGCAGGCAGCAAGCTGATATTTCTGTCATTATATTTCCCGTATCAAATATGAAATTCAGCAATCATTTAATAAATTTAGTTAGTTAATTGCAGTAACATTATTAATATATATGCATAATTTTTTTCTTGGCAGACACATACAACAATTAAATATCCATAGCTTCCCTACATTTTCTGATTATATAGCCACTATAGCAAAGTATGTTGGAGCTATTTTTATTCATAAACTGCTTAGAGAAAATATTCAAGAGCCACTGTACTATTACGGCAATATTGCAAGTAGGTATCATTTAGTCTGTAACAATAGTGGAATAGAATTTCCAATGCCAAAATCACTATTATTAAATATGTACATGTATTAATATATAATTCATATTAGTATTGTTATGTTACTAAATGTTTCTAAGAAATAGGAAGTCCTGGGAGTGCAGAGATGATTCAGCTTCCTTCCTATTATATATCTACTTAGAGTGTGGCCGACCAGTAGGCTGAATGAGACTTTCCAGCATTCTACTGCCCACTAGCACTCCAAATTCACTTCACTGATATTTGGAACCTAAATCTCCCAAAATGAGGCTGCAATTTTTCATTCCCTTCGCCCATTGTTTTCCTTTGTTTTCCCACAAACCTAGTTGCCATCATCACCAGCATGTTCTGTTCTCCCAATATCTAGATGGCCCCCGCTCCTGCTTTTGTTTATAAGAGCCATGAAGGTTCTGGAGCAAGGGAAAGTGAGACCCTTTGCTTCATTCTGCCTTCCATCTTTTATCTTTGATTTTTAATTGTCATTTCTTTTGATTGTTGTGAGTTGCCCAGAATCATTGACAATTGAATAGCATACAAGTTTAATACAGCAACAACAGCAGCAGCAGCAATTTAAGAATGGGAATGGAAGTAGGCATGGAAATTGTTCCCACTTCTATTTTTTAAATCTCTACCACCAAAATCTGAAATTATTCACATAAAAAGAATTTGGGGGCTTTGGAGGAAGTTAAAAATGGTGGAATACTGTCTTCCATTCCCATTTCTGAGTATTCGTCTTCCATTCCTATTTCTATCTTTAAAAAGAAGCAAAAAAAGAGCAAAAAAAAAAAACATTCCTGTCCCTTCTGAAAATGTCACTGATCACTGAACGCAGCACCCTAGAAGAACAAGAAGCTCAACCCCTCAAACAATCCCACACTTACCATAAAACATCACAAGGTTCAAAAATCATCTTACACCATTATTGAATATAGGGAGCAAAAGAGTCTCATCTATATTAAAGAAAACTCTTTATCTTTATCTTTTATATAGAAATAGCGTCCCTTGTTACTGACATGGGTTCTGTTCTCGCCTAATAGACAAACATAACAAAAACACAAATAAACTTGAAATTTACTTTAACATACAGATGCTATTCTCTGCATGCATGAAATATATTAAAAGACTCCAAGAGCTCTCCTGGAAACACAACCACACACCAAAAGTGCAGGTAATCCATCAGCACAGATCATAAGTATTGTGTATTTTTATTAGTCAATGAAAGGTATGGTCACAGATAATAGAACTGTAGATAACAAGGGCCACCCATTTTCTTGAAAAAAACTGTGAGAACGAATACTGTTATTGCAGAATTCTTTTTACATTTATCATGTCATCATGGAGATAATTCATAGGCAGCTCTGCCCTCTGATAAAATTGCACTCTATAACTTTTCCAAATTGCATTGACATGCTAAAAGCAAATTTCTGCCTATTACTTTCCTTGAAGGCAATGCCATATGAGAGAATTAAAAAAGGGTGTAACAAGTGCTAAAAGGAACCATTGTATTCAGACATTCTCTACTCTTTTTGATGCTTTTTTTCCCCTTTTAGTCAACAGGCAATGAACTCTCTGCTTTTACCAGGAGTTACAATGATCCTTTCTACAGACTGTTTAAAATTACTTTAAGTCAAGGACTGCACATAGCCCTAATCTGCCTATAACTGAATTAAATAGATGAAAATGTAATGTATGTTTTCCATGTACACGAAATCAGTAACTAGCTAGACTAAAGTAGATCTGAACAATTTCTTGTACTTACCCCCATCAGCAATGAATAAATCCAAGTTTTATAAAAGAAACAAGGATGAAATTTTTTGGAGAGCTGAAGATTGCTAGATTTAATATCTGGAACATAACTTCCATTCTGTTGTTTTCCGCGCTCCAAAGTTGGCATCCTATCATAACTAAATTCTTCCCTGTAAGATTCTTCCTTTGTCATAATGCTTTAAAGAAAAGAGATAACAAAATATCCAACTTCATTTATTTTCCACACTATGCCTTGAGGTAACAGAAAAATGTATTTTTTTAAAGGTTAGATAAAAATCTAATAATTATGACAAAGCTCCATGCTTCTTTTAGTATCTTCAGTTTTATTATGTAATATTACACTTAACATACATATTGCCCCCACACATTTCATTGCATAGAAATGCTCAAGATACTAACTTCTCATCCAAGATTTATTTAATAGATGATAAATTTTAACCTATTTAAGTGTTAAGATTTAAGTTCCACATCAATTTGTTTTGGACTAAGGAATAAATTATTTAATAAATTTATTTCTAATTTTAATTAATTATCCTGATAAATTACTTAATAGTTTTCTATCATACCTTACAAAATATTACACTGTGAAACTAAAAAAAGTGGTTTCTAACAGTTGATGTAAATTGGAATATATCTTATTAATCATATTTGAGTAAATTTCAATGTATGTGCACACTTTCTTAATAATGATTAATTTTATCATGAACTGAGTAACTGTTCATTTATATACTGTTTCCTAAGTTTTATTTGGGTATGAAAATCAGCAAGTACTAGAAAAATGACAAAAGATCCTTACTTAACCTGACATTTCAGTTGTAATGATTGTGTGACAAAATACTTTCTTCTATACATACAACTAATCAATGGTACCCAGATAAATTGTTACATTATTTACAGCACAGATTGATTACTATAACTTATCTATGCATATATCATTCCTGCAAAAAAGCTATACATACCTTAAACTGAGAAGTTTAATAGTCAACTTTGAATAGTTTGGTGAGTAGAGCTGCCTGGATACTTTGTTATAGTCTCACTGTGTAATGATTCATGCACCCTTTGAAAATTTTTCTCCTCCACTTTGGCTTTCAACAGGATCTATTCATACAAGAACAAAAGCACAGCAAAAAACTCAGGCAAGGGAACATAAAAATGCCAACAGAATGTTAATGAAGAGAACACACTACAAAACTACTACACCATATTTTCACAAGGTTTTTCCATCATAGTCTTCAAGAAGAATTTCAAGATAAAAGTTCCATGCTGCTGAGAAGTAAACATATAATATATAACATAACATATACTAAACAGTATGATTGTTTAATTATATTTACATTGTGATACTGAGAAATTATAATTTCAGTCATAACACATTACTGTGTCTAATGGACTTATTTTGAAATATATATATAGTATTGTGTAGTCCTAGGCCATACCTGCAAAATTATTCCATTACAAATAGCATTGTAGAAAAAGGATTAAAAAGGGGGGGGGGAGTCAGGAACTTAAATATGGACAGTGATTGTAGGACAGAAACTCAAACATGCCGACATGAAAGTATTATTAATTTCAAATATCTTTAACTTCCATTAAAAATAAAGGTTAAAAACAAGATTTGAAAATACAAACAATATTATTATTCTATATTTTGATTTAATCCTCTGCATAAGAATACTATATGAAATGAACTTTTCTATATATTACAGTATATATGCCTATTTTTGTAGCGAGAAATTTAGAATAAGACAAATCTATATTCTCTCATAGGGAATATAAAATACTTTTGTTTTATTTTCTCTCTCTCCTCTCTCTCTCTCTCTCTCTCTCTCTCTCTCTCTCTCTCTCTCTCTCTCCTTATTAAATACTACTGGTATTAAGAATACCATCTTCTATGAAGCTACTGGCACAGTTAACTGGAACGATTACATTTTGTACTGCCTTAACATTCCTTGCAACTAAGAAATAACTCCAACATAGAACTTTGAAAAAAACTTCTGTCTATGCTAATTTTAAGAGAGAAAGTATTTTGAGACACTATTTTTTCTTGGTAAAAAGGAAATAGATGGCACAATTACAATAGCTTTTATCTAAATGCAATTGTTCTCAATATTAAAATGTACTATCCAACCTATATCAGACTTACATATATACACAGGTTGTATACATACATCAGATCTGGTGCAAAACTCCAAATGGCCATTAGATAGCAGCCCACATAAAGTAGCATTAACTCATTTGTTGTATCAACATAGCCATTAAAAAGCCACTTCACTTATTGTAGTGTCCTTTGTACATTGTGAATTAAGACTGCTCCCAAATATGGGTTCAAACATGGTTAGTACTAGGGACATCTACAGAGCGATGTTTTAAAACAAAACCTCAAAAGGTTGGTCATGGTAATTTGATCAAATCTTGTTTTTATCTGTCACCACACACACATAAAACAGGCAAAGCTTAGATACTAGCATCATGGCTCCTTTTTGACTCATAGGCACTTCTGTTTACACTAAATTACAGCATTTTTTTTCAGCCAATGAACTTTGCAGCCAAGATCTTTTGAGAGCATGCTGGCTCAGGAATTCTGGGAGTTGGAAGTCCATGAGTCATAAAAGAGCCAAGGTTGCCTACTCCTGCCCTAGGTTTTTCTCATTTGTTCCTCTGCCCCTTCTAAATCTCTTCAGCCCCAAACAGCCACATTTCCATTCACATCCTGAAAAAAAGTCATTTCATTCTGCATATGGACCGAAACATCAGAAATGCATATTTTGGTTTGTGCACAGGACTTTTTGCATATTCCCAGACCTGGGCTAGACTTTGCAGTCAATGAGCTTCTTCTTTTTTCTTTTCTTTTCTTTTCTTTTCTTTGTTTTTCTTCTTTCTTATTAAAAGTTAAGTGGAGTAATTTTGCAGAACAGCACAAAGTATTCATAACCCATGTTGGGGGTGCAAGCTTTCAGTTATAATGTGGATTATTTGGTGTAATTTCATCAACATATTCAGTGCTCTGTCAGTCATGATTTAGGGCATAGCACGGATGGAAACACCTGACCAATTTCATTTGATTTTGCAAAGCTAAGTAGGATCAATTATGTTTAATACTTGCATAAAAAATATCTTGCCTAAAAACTAGACTACACAAGCATCCTGGAAAAGGGCAAGCCAAGCCATCTTCATTGTGTCATCAACTAATCTACATCTTTTCCAGTAGGGGGTGCATACCTATGCCTCAAGGACAAAGCAAAGTAGCCTTCTTGATTTTTTTTGACCCCCACAGTCCCCATATGCTTGCATTCATGCAATCATGAGTCCTTTTTGCTACAGGATTCCTAATAACTCAATCAACTGAGGTGAGTGTAAAAATGTTATCCTCTCTACCAAAGCTACCAAAACGTACCAGCACTGCCTTTAAAGGTTAAAAAAAAATTGCAAGACTTTTATAATGTGTGAATATAAAAGATGCGTATCCTGTGTAAATGATACCATATATGTGAAACACACACATATAAGTATACACTATACCAGGGGTAGGCAACCTAGGCTCTTTTATGACTCGTGGACTTCAATTCCCAGAATTCCTGAGCCAGCCATGCTGGCTCGGGAATTCTGGGAATTGAAGTCCACGAGTCATAAAAGAGCCAAGGTTGCCTACCCCTGCACTATACATACACATACACACATTGCTTTCCCATTAAAGTGCATCTGTCTTCAATTACAAACGGTTGGTAATTATGGGAGCCGTAGTCGCACCCTTTTCGGGGCGCCGAGCGAGACACCGAGTTACATGACTTAGGGAAAGCTGTGAAGGCATCCGGGTGGAAGAAGGTACCTCCCAAAGCGCTGAGGACAAAAAAAAAGTGGGGGGGACTCATCATACCCACCTGTCACGAGACGGGAAGGGGAGCGGGATTTAAATTAGGAAAGGCAAAGGAGGACCCCCTCCCCCCAACTCGTTACACATCCTTCTCCTCACGAATAGGTGAAAGAGCAACCCTTAATTGAGCGCGCATGCGTGCCAGCGAAAAAGCTCCTCTCCCCGGCTGGGTGGAGCTTGACCTGCCTGCGGGCGCGCGGAGAAGAAAGGGGTTGGGAGACACGTGGCGTGATTCGCGGGGTTTTGGTGCGCGAGGAGGAGGAGGACGACGTCGACGACGACGAGGCCTTGCCGAGGATTGAGCGGGGTGTGACTGGAGGCTTGGTGAAATGCTCCAACTTTTGTCCAGAGGCTTTTCGTTTTTCTGGCGGGACGCCGAGCGGGAGGTCGAAGAGGAGTTTCAAGCAGCCCGAGGTAGAAGAATGGAGGTCACTTGGTGCTTTTTCGTTACACCAATAATTGCTTGGACGGTAAAAAAAAAAAAATGCAACAAGGGAGAGAATTCATATCACAAGTGTTATGTGCGAAAACAAGAAAAATAAGAGCTTAATAGGCGAACTGTTAGGGCCTACAGGAATTCAGCTTAATTAGTATAATTAATAGATGTTATGGCCACTTCTCCCGAAGACTGGGTGGCTTATTCTTTCATTTGGTTATGCAAGGGCTTTAGGTTTTCATTCGTCCATTTGGTTATGCAAGGGCTTTAGGTTCTCCCATTAGACAGTTTACTGTATTAATTCGTTGCGTTTATAACATTTCAAGAATTCAAGGTGGCATAGAGGATGGTCTCCCCCAAATGTTATCTCCACAACAACTCTAAGGGCTAACTAGCATGGCCTGAAAGTGATGCAGCCAAATAATGGATTTGTGGTGGTGTGAAGATTAAGAGTTTGGTTTTCCCAGTCAACCTAATGCAAAACCAACCACGTTGCATTGGCTTCTGATCAAGACTGAGGAATCTTTGGCTCTTTACAAGATATGCTTCTGTTCAGCCTAATATGAAGGTCAAAGAGTCATTACCCTTCTCTATATTTATGCCTGATCCCCAAAGTCACCCAAATTGGGTGCTTGATAACCTGCCTTTGCTTATGATCTCAGGGTGTTTCCCCCACCCGTCCATCTCCGCATCTCTGTCCTTTTTATTGTCCTGCACAGTGGCATGTGGTGGCAGCATCAGTGGCACTAGGGCTGAAGTAGAGGCTCAGGCCCTTCCAACAGTTTCTGTCAGCCACCTCCACCAGAATATCTACTTCATCCTTAATACCACTGATGCCACCACGGCCACTAAGGAGTGCTTCCTCAAGCCTTGCAGCCAACCACCACAGTGGAAAGCCCTCGCCACTTTGCCCTCACTGGCCGTACCACATTCAGCTGACCATAACCAGCTTCTTCCCACTGCTGATGAGGCTTATTTAGCGGGCCTATGAAAGGCAGCTGCTGGCTGCAATAAGCTTTTTTCCCCAAGACTGCAAACACAGTTCTGCAAATTGTATGTATCCTCACAGTTTGGAAAACAGCATGCATGAGTTGGAGAACAGTAGTGGCATGGGATTTCAGGTGGTACTCAGAAGTGGCGCTAGCAGGGCTGCGGCTGAAGTAGAAGCCCTGCAGCAGTGACAGCCAGATTAGACTGGTGAAAGCCCTGGGCCTGTACTTTAGCACTGGTACTGTCACCATCACAACCAAGGAGTGACACTGCAAGACATAAGGGTAAAAAGGGGGGCCATTGGCAAGTGGAGAGAGTTCAAGAAGAGGTAGCACCCTGCCTTATTGAGACTCAGGGCTTGGAGGAACCAAACCAAAGTGCTGTTACAGAGGATGTGATAGAAAGCACAAGACTCACAAGATGGCAACGTTTAATGGAGGGGATCTACAGCATATCCACTCTGCTGTAAAATACTGAGGGCCAGAAACAATTGGAAACGAGCATTCTCTCTGGTATACTGGCCTTATGCCATACAGGACTTAATGATATTAATACATTTATATAATTGTATGCATGACAAAAATTAGGAAATAATCATCTCCAAAAACTTAAGTAGATTTTTATTGGGAGTTAGTATTAAATGCAAAGTATATCTGTATAAACTTCTTTTTAAAAGACATATTTGAATACACTAGTTATATACAGTTCTTATCCTGAGATACAGAAGCAAGTTTCCTAACATTTGTATCTTTGAGTATAACTTTATTAAAAACAACACTTAACAATAATAAAATCACTTTAGGAAAATTTTATTTTCTCAGACCAGCTCTTACTTTCTAAATCTAAGAAATACATTGACATTTTAGTTTTTAACATTTTTGGATATCATCGGCTTGTTGCGTAATTGTTGCATAACCTGTCTTATTTGTCACACAATATTTATTAACTTTTAGTAAGTATATTTCTAAGAAATACAGTTCTGTGAATAGTAGTGCATCCCACATGTAGGCTGACTTTCTTGAACTAGAGGCTGTGAAAATATTGTTTTTCTAAGAATGATAGAAGTACACATTCTTGAAATGGATGCTCTGAATTTAAATCAGAGTAGGCAATCTGGCCTCCCTAACAAATGCTTTGAGCGACTGTTCCCACAATTCTTGATAATGGAGTGGGAGGGGAAATTAACCTAAAAGTTTTGAAGGATGTAAGATTGCCTCTCCAAAATCAAGATCTTTAATTTTAGAATATTTTTAAGAAATATTCCTTGACAAACAATATCCAACAAAGCTAATCTATAGCAGCAAAAAAAAAAAATAGCCGCCTGTCACTTTAAAAAGTAAAATTAAACTGAAATATTTTAGTTTTGGGGACTAATTGACCTTGGAAGCCATTAGTGTAGAATAGTCTTTGTAGGGTATTTATTGTAAGGTTTAAATTGTCTTGTTTATTCATTACAAGTTATGTTCCAATATAGTGGAGGAAGTGACTTTAGCAATCAAGTATGTCCTAGAGAAAGGGTAAATGATACAGGAAGAAGTTAGGCTTAAGGAGCTTCCATATTAGTTTCAGACAAAAGTGGTCATGAGAGATTTGATTTTATTCATTGAAAACTTTACCTTTAATAACCATTTGGTGATCACAGAAGCTCTGTAAGCTTTCAGCTAGAAAAATGAAACTGTTAACATGTTGGATTATACTTTAGGAAACCCAACTGAAGCCAAGAAACTCACTGACTGATTTTGGTAAGTTCATACTTTTTCTGCTCAGCCATTCTTACATCATTCTTTGGGGAATTGAGTAAGAGTACTTGGCAAGTTGCCTTGAGCTACTCCAAAAAAGGAAAGAATCTAGTAAATGAATAAAAATAAAAGTCAGTGCTTACCAAATATGTCCAATTAATTCATAGCATGATTCAAGTAGATCAGATTTCTTAGTAACATATTTGTGATCAGGATACATGGAATGATTTACACGCATTTCTTCGTTCCGTTTTGTTACCTTGTTTGATGAATATATGTAGTACAACACTTTGCATTGTCTCATTTCAGGATATAAGGATATATATTGAGAATCAGTTTGGTTTAGTAGTTAAGACATCAGGAGTCTGTGAGGTCTAGTCCTGCTGGCAGGGTGACTTTGGGCCAGTCATTCTTAGTCTAAACCACCATCACCACCACTATTGTGGGGGAAATTGGAGGTGGAAGGAATATAGGTAGTCCTCAACCTACGACCACAATTGAGTCCAAAATTTATGTTGCTAAGTAAGACATTTGTTAAGTGAGTTTTGCTCATTTTACAATCTTTCTTGCCACAGTTAAGTGAATCACTTGAGTTGTTAGTAATATGATTTTTAAGTGAATCTGGATTCCTCATTGACTTTGCTTGTCAGAAAATCACAAAAAGAGATCACATGATCCCAGGACACTGCAACGGTCATAAACACATGCTAGTTGCCAAACATCTGAATTTTGATCTCGTGATCATGGGGATATTGCAAAGGTCCTAAGTGTGAAAACCAGTTATAAGTCACTTTTTTCAGTGCTGTTGTAACTGTTCAAACAATCACTAAATGAATTGTTGTAAATCGAGGACTACCTATATCAGGCATGTTCATCTTATTTTTTTTTAGGAGAGGTGAAAAAAAATAAAAAATAAGTGGGCTAACTGGTGAAAATTTAACACTACCTTAGCAATTTTTCAATGTTTTATATAGTAAAAGTTTAGATAACAAGGACGTTACACAAAACTTGTTTATATAAATTCTTTTGCCTCTTAACGAAGACATGTCTTTAAAAGGTGGAACTGTGTATGCTTGGCTTGTTTGATGTTTGTGAAACTAGTGGCCTTTCATCTTCTTGGGTGGTATATTTGGAAAAAAAATTCCACAGCCTTCTAGGGTTCATATTTCTATGCTGTCAATGTGAACTTTCTAGCCAAGTCTCTCCAACATGTTTGTACAAGCAGATATACTTTTGAAGATATCATGCAGTGAATTATAATGCATAATAAACTAGAGAATATTTTCAGAAAGTCCATAAAACCCCTGATGCTTGGAAAATAGGAATATATGGAAATTTAGAATACTATTGACAATTTACATATAAGGTGACATGTGCTTGACAATGCAGAATTTTTTTTATTGAAGAACAACAGTAAGAACATTGTGACTGTACAACTGGATGAAACAGGGTAATTTACTGAATACCATACTTATTGCTAAATTCAAGACAGTGTCTTCTTTCAGGCAGACAAAATAGAATTACTAGATGTTGATTTATTTCAGTTCTGATGCCAAATTTTGAACTGATACTACTACAAGGAATTTTTCACTTTTCTATTGTGAAATGCAATGTTTTTCAATTCAAATGTTACGAAAAATCTTATTGAGTATCATTGTTGATAATCATTAAATTACCTAGCAATTTATATTATATGAATTGATGTAGGGAGATACTCAATTCTGTGAACATAAAAGGGAGATTTAAAAAATGTGTTGTAATGTTTTGTGTGCTGTTTTCATTTGTAAAACCGCTTTGCAAAGACTGACCTATCAGAAACAACTGACTATGCTTTACTCTTTTCTATAATCGAATACAAAGAAAAATATTTTTAAAACACATTTTTGCTAACAAATACAGATTTATTTAGTATTGACACAAATGTTTCTTTATTTCTTTAAGATGACAAGGAGTTGAAAACAGTAGAA